TGCGACTTTTTTATTATATTGAATTTTCACAATGTGTGATTGTTGTAAACAGTATGCAATGGTAATTTGACAATTTTATTTTAACTGGTTTTAAATTTATGTACCTACCCATTTGTTTAGAATCGACGAATCTGTATTTAAATGTGTGTATTTTTTTATTTAACAGATTTTTGTGCTGATATCACCATTAGATAGTGTGACTCCTGAACAAACTTTAGTTTAGTTATCGGTTGAAGATGCCAAAACACACGGCCGAAGCTGCGAGTTAGTAGGTATTATATAAGTTTCAATTTTAACAATCCAAGTATCGAAGACAATTGAATCAACAGAAATACTATTACAGTATTTTATTAGACCTTATGTTGAATTCTAAGACTGGAGGATTAATGATAAAATATATATTTTTTTATAACAGGCAAATGGCTATTAAAAAATTTATTGAAATAATAAAAAATAATGTTAATAAAAAAAATTAGTCTTATTGTACTCTTTGCTAATTACCCACAATCGTTTATGGATAATAATCTAATTATTTATAACTTTAATTAAACAAATAAAAAATATCGATTTAAATGGCCACTACTTTACTAAAACTCTAGGATACTGTAATTTTATTACGCTTATTGTAGATGGCAAACAACGCTTTATTATATCTTTATGGCGGCTGTTTCAAACATATATTATATTAAGTAAATAAACATCTATGACTTTCTCAAATATTGCAAGCATGTAGCGCCCTAACGAAGCAAACAATAAAGATTCGTGTCCAACACTGAATGAAACAGTACAAGGACGAACGACCGATGAATCTGATTATTTCGATTCAATGTATCCTCAATCCCAAATCAAAACAAAGTTCGCGAAACTTCCGTTAGTTATCTTTGGAAGACTTTGATTTGTTATATTTTCTTTCATATGTCATATATACTCAACTTAAACGGAAAAGTATAATATTAATATGTCTCACTTTATAAAAAATATAACGAGGCTTACAAGAATTAACCTTACCCCTACATATACCATAACATCTTATTATTTCAAATAAATCTTTTCGGGTAATTGGCTACTCAATTATCAACCTTAAGTATCTCCATACAGTTAACTACGGCAGTTAATAAGGGAAGATAATTTTCCCGTTTTTTTCATCAAACGCGTGAAAACAATAAACTACGATCGTACGTGTTAGGTATTTCATTTACAGTGGTAAACGGTACGGAACATAAATTATTTGTACGATGTGAGTGTAACCGTAGAGCTTAGACTATTTCGAATTCCGTACGTACGCTCGCTGCTTGTGGCGATGGTTACCGCCTAGTTCTACGTACTTGATTACGTGAACAAGCGTCGCAATAGCGGGCGCGATCGAGAATACATGTGTTGTAATGGAATTAATGTACGCAGCATAATTAGTAATTTAGCATTTAAATGTGCGATCAAATACTTTAAGATCACATAAGATCCTGCCAAATTGGTGGTCATAAATTAAAACTAATCTTTTTGGTTATCAAAAGATATATCAGGTCCTGTTTGCACGTTCGTAGTATTAATGTGAACTTATCGTAAATAGTATTTACGATTAGTAAAAATCCTACCGAACAACGTGAACGAGCCCAATGTGAAAGATCGCCGTCGCTCCCGCTTAGTATATGCGTAAACAAACACTAGGCTATACCCGCCAACGACACACGACACTGAATAGCACACCACCGCCATTCCATTCCTTCACGCTGTATTTTATGCTGTCACATCCAATTTTAATATTCTTTATTGTATTTCGCAACTAACAGAAAAATATTGCAACGTATATAAAGGTCATTTTTCAAACAAAACTTATAACTGAACAGGGATTAGCGACTTTAAAACTAAATTGACTGAAACTTAAATTACGACGTGCCGTTAATATACCACGTTACAATTTTAAAATATATATAATAAATCATATTTCATCATAGCTAATTCGTTCGTCGCCATCTTGTGTCAAAGTTCTATCTTTACATTTTTTACTTTGCCCCCGTTACCTTAGTAATTTTTCGCTACGATGTTAATAGTATAAGATCCCGATATACAACACCTTCGGAGATGCTTATTTAATGAAACGTATTTTATATTTAATTTAATATGTCAATAAATATAATCCATATGGGTTGCCTAGCAAATTTCAGTCCAGAGTATGTTTAATTAATATTTAAAACAAAATATTTTTTTATAATTTGCATGTAGTAAATTTTTTTAATTTTTTTCAATCAATATTTTTAATCAGGGTATATTATATATGTATACTATAACTTTCTTTTTTACTAAAGATTATATATACTTTATGTCACATAAAAAATATACACATAAATAATTAATTATTAAAAACAACCTAACGTTTGCATATTCTATGGGTTCATACTTTATTGGTATAAATTTTTAATAATATACTAAATTTAAAAAAATTTTTTTTAATATTAATTAAAATACTCTGGACTGAAATTTGCTAGGCAACCCATATGGATTATATTTATTGACATATTAAATTAAATATAAAATACGTTTCATTAAATAAGCATCTCGGTGAAGGTCGTTGTATATCGGGATCTTAGACCATACGAAAAACTGTACAGTATAATTATGCAATAAGTATGGATCTCTCAACACCTAAAACTGTCTTACGCATTTCGTGTAATCAATTTCTTATTTCTTGGTGCATATAGAATTCCGAACAAAAACTTTTGGTACGTAGAGAAACTTTTGATATACATTAATGTTACCTACAGTTGTGAAGGCTTGCTCCGAAGGAGAGAGGAAGCAGGCGTGCACTGCGCGTTATTTACGACTGGCGATTCCGGCACCATTGCTTTTAAGAAACTTTGTTCAGTACACCGACAATGCTTTCCGAAAGCAAATCCTTTAATGTTTATAATACTTTGTGGCGGTAACGTTTTTGCATGTTTCAGAGGCGTATATTTAGATAAAGGTACCTTTTCATAGATACATTTTTATCGGGGGAGCAAACTTGCAGGCGTTTCGGGGACATAAAACCTTACTTAGCGAGCCACAAATCCTCGTAAAGTTAAGCCGAGATAAAACACTAAGCTCGCACCACAGCGCGATGGAGCTCAAATTTTTCACCTGCGAGCCGACCGGGAAATGGGCCACACGCGATATTACTTACACAAGAAATATGACGCTCCGTAATGAAACTCCGGCTACCGTTAATCACGTATTATTATTCAAATTTATATCATCACGTCTAAAATTACCACGTTTCGTGGTCGTTTACGTGTATTAGGACACAACATTTTAACACGCTTTTTGGTACTTACGTAAAATAACAAACTTGATTACGGCCGTGTTATGTTATGCTTAATTAGTACGAGACTGTTATGAAGTCTTATTGTTGATTTCGAATTAAAATGAAGGAGAAAAAATGGTGACTTTAATCGTTACTACTTGATAATTAACTCTTTATTTTCATACATTCATTTTCATTTTAATTAAATGACCAGCGTTTTCATGATTTTTAATTCCTTCCCGCATATTCACATTATTCTTTGTTCATAAAAATACGTATACTTACATATCCCTGGCTACCAAACAGATTTTTGTGCGGTTTTCAGTAATAGATAGTGTGACAGTAGTTTAGGTTTAAGTTAGTTATCGATTAAGAGTTAAAGATGCCAAAACACACGAAATCCATTCGGGCGAAGCTACGGGTTAGTAGGTAGGTACTATATACGTTTCAATTGTGTAATTACAGTTTTAACCATCCAAGTATCAAAGACATTTAAATCAAGAGAAATACGAACAGGATTTTATTAGACCGCATGTTGAATTCTAAGACGGGGGGGGATTAATAAAGCCATTAATTCTGCTAAATGCGCAAACATTATAAATCAGGCTGTAGCGTATGTCTCTTAGACAGCGTTGTAACCGCAACAAATTTAGGCAAATATATTACTGAACTTTTACGGCCGCAGAAATTAATTACACAGCATCTTCAATCGTGTTTTTAAGACGTTATAGACTCTTTGATGTGTTTTTCTCTGTATTTTGGTAAGTAATTTAATTGAATGCTTTGTTAATATTGCAATACGCCAATTACGATGATAACCGCCCTACTTTTGCACCACTAGTTAATATGGGAAGGTATGGGCCTCTTGGCCAATTTTATGAAGGAAATCTAGTGTACTAGTTCGAGGAATTGAACAATGGATGCACATAGTCTAAATTTGATATGTGTGTAGTGCGAAATGATATTGGTAAATATTTGTCAAAGACCTCGAATATCGACAAAGATAGTCTGTAGCAAATTAAATTATTCCACATAAAGCTACATAGATACATAATAATATTAAAATTGTTGAAGCGTACGGAAACGTTTTTAGGCCCTACTTATAGATAAATTATCCGGGCGCGTCCCAATAGCCTTAGAGAAAAGGTCGATATTTCTTAAAAGGGTAAGGGATAAAAAACAAGAAAAATCCGGTTTCATAAAAACGTTGCGTCCCGTAATGGCAACGTATTTAAAGTATAGAGCGTTTCCATCCTCAATATATTATTTAACTTAGTATGCAAAAACAAAATATATATATTATAAATAGGATTTTTTTTATATTGTAGCGAATGAAATTGAAAACTTCTGAACCGATTTCAAACACTCTTTCACCATTATAGTGCAAATTCCTGAGCAACATAGGCTATATTAACATTATTGAAATTTTATAGAAATAATAGTAATATATTCACAAAAAACTTGCGTTGTGGGAGTTTACAAAGTTTTCAGTGGGATGATTATATCCTGTTTCACAGATTGGTTATGTATGAAGTCTATTTAACCGTGTAATGTGTGAGTTACAGTTAATTATTTTAACATATTTCAATAGTCATATAATACAGCAAGAATATTTTAAATTATAAGATGTTCCTCATAAAAAAAACTCTCCTAAACTCATGTATTATACATGTGTTAATAACTCTACGTAACAGAGTAATTTTATAAATTAAGACCCAAGGTATTAGCGAAAATTAGATTTCAATAAGACGCTTGAGACGAGACGGGGAACAAATCTGAAGCAGAGCCCAGTAATGCTGAGACGGTCACGATCCTCCTTTAAATGCAACGTCAGCATCGCGGCATCCTATACAGTTAAGAGAACCTCATACACAATAATCTGTAAATCCACTTAATTTATGGGATCATGTCTAAGGAAAATGTAATATTAGTCTGTGTTAGTCTCCAACGCTTTAGAAGCTTAGATGATATAATCACTTTCAAAGGTTTCATAGACGAAATATATCTAATATATAAAATCGGTCTGTTGTTTCCCTACCCCCCCCGAAACAGCTCGACCGATTTTTATGAATGTTTTATGCATATTTAGTAAGTCTGAGAATCGGCTACTATTTATCTTTCAAACCCCTAAGTGATAAGGGTTGTCCACCCCTAACATTTTATTAACACCAAAAAAAAATATTTTTAGACAATTTTTTTTTGTTTTTATTTTTTTATAACACACATAAAAATACATACAACCCTTAATTTTCATCTACCCGCTACGATCAACCCCTATTTTTTATTTGTTGCTTAAGAACTTATAACTTTAACTCTGAGGTTAATATAAAGAAAAATTCACAGAAAGTTTTCATTCCGGAAAATCGAACCGCCGCGCCGTAGCAAAATGTTCCACGTTGATATGTACTAAAAAGGTAGGCTAAGTAAAATCACATTAAGGAGAAACGAAGTTCGCGGGGACAGTTAGTTTTTATTTATGTATATAAATTTATTAATCGTTTATTTTACTATCTGTATGTCTTAAATAAATAGTCACGTGACATTAGATTACACATATATTGCAAACAATTTAATTATCTAAAAGTTTTGACTATTGTAATACCATAGCAGATAATTAAACATTCAAGAATATAACTACAGGGTTAATAAATGTGATAAGCCTTTCATTATTACGTCACGCACCTAGATGTGTGTAAAGATACGTGATATTAATATGAATAGGAGACTCGAGAGGAATATGAAAGTAGCAAATAAATTGCAATATAAGGCTCTTAATTTAATCTTCATAATATCGCGTCTATCATTCAGCCTCGAAGACGTCATCTCTCTAAGAGCGAAGGTGTCTGCGTTTTATGACCAATCTGCTATACTCTTAAACGGATATGGCAAATAAAAACAAGTAAACGACCCAAAAACGTTCAGAATACAGAGCCGCTCCACAAAAGGTCGCAGCGAAAATAAATTATTCCCCAATTCGGTCGTTACGATTCAAATTGAATATATCGTATAGAGATTTCTCTAGCCACAAGGAGAATAAAAATAGGCATATAAACGCAAATGAAATGGCTTCATGAATCGTGTGAACGACTCACAAAGCAATAATTTATCGACGGCGTATAATTCACCAGAAATCAATTTTCGCTGACAATGAAATTGTTTCTCGATATTCCTTATAAAGCATCGCGATAAGTCTATCATGTTCATGCAAGCGAGACTTGAATTATTTATTCATTACATACCCGTACGCGGCGCACGTTCTCAAAAGATAACTCGTATAATTCGTGCGAGGACGCTACGCAGCCCAACGAAACAATAGCAGATTATCAAACAAAACGACGTAAACAGCCCTCAAGTAGGAGAAACGGGTTAAGGGCTCGGAGGATGGCCGAATCGCGTCTTGAATACTAGATGATATGTCTTAGGTTGTGTTATGAAACTATCAAAGCTAACAATATAAACAAATAGCTGTTACGGATAGATGTCACCGATCATACTTATCGTTAGTACCGCAAACCAAATATGAAGGAATTTGTATTCTGAATATTATGTTATGATTTAAAACTATTAATATTTAATGTTTTAATCTTCTTGAATAACAATGTTGTTCAGAGCTGTAGTATTCAAAATTTTCTACGTAATCTCGTAGATCCGGCGTAGTCACTAGTCAGTCCGGGCTACGGCTTTCGTCATGTATTAAAAAATATCCAACCATCTCATGAATGTATACCAGATAAGTTTGTTATCATTAAACTAACAAATCAAATGGTCCTAAAAAATACTAAAGATTTTCCACTGTTATTTAAACAATCCAAAAAAGCGCTTCGATCAAGCAAAATCCTGCTAATAGCAGGCGGCGGATAAACATTGTGACACAGTTCGTAATGAAAAAAATAAAGGCGCGACGACGCCCGAATATATGAGAACGGCGATAAACAGGATTCCTGCCTAACGGAGGGGTCGATACCGAAATACATTATTCCCCGATCCGAGTGTTCCGATTCAAATTGAAAGAGCACCTCCAACATGAGATTTCTCAGGCGGCGAGTGGGCGTAGAATATAAATCGCCACATAAGCAGCCATGGAAGCGAATATACTTTTTGTGGTGGACCTGCGTACGTTACTTTATTGCTAAAGACGAAAACTGATTGAATTGCGGAACACCTATTCTTTCAAGGCGAACAAGCGCAGCTATTATTCTTCTTATATAGGATTTAAACTATGAGAATATGATTATACTTGTAACAAATGTAGCTCACTCAAACCAAATTCGCCAATTTATGCATCATAAATGGGACATACGCCTCCCCTCATCGGGTATTCTGTTCAATTCACAACACACCCAGTCGATATTTACGTAACAAACGTCTTTCACTGCTGACAGTGTGTTTCGTTCTAACTCAATGTATTAACTGTCAACGCTTTTACGCTTTTCTTTGCAAATAATAATCCTTTGTTTGGTGCAAATTATTTACTAACCAGTGAGCCTGAGGCCCTATTAGCCGAGCTAATAGTCCAAAGACTCCCGGCTCTCTAACTTTATTAAGGACGAGACGCCGTCGCTGAATCAAGGTGACGCGCCTACACAATACCCTATTCAGATTTAAATAGCTTTACGCCCAATTGCTCTTCAATATGGCGCTAGCTCTGATAGTTATTTCATTAAACAAAGATTTGGGAGATAATTTCTGCGCACGGCTGAGGTATTCCATTTAATAGGGCTTTGTCAGGGACTTTCATTTATCGGAATGTTTTGCGCTAATTGCTATTATGAAGCAAGTATTTCTATTATTTATTTTGCCTTAAGTAGCTATAAGTAACATCACCATGTAAATGATAATGCTATGTGACAAGTCAGGAACTTTGAGAGGCCAGGGACAACGCAAAGTTTGGCAATTACGGCGACCGCATGTCTGAGAGCTCTACATTTATTACTAACGTATATTCTTATATAACCATACTATTCATATAGACGTTATGAGCTCATTTACTTAATAAATTAGATATTAATAAAAAAATTGTTTATAGCAAGCTTAATAGGAGTGAAAAATTAAAATAAATTTATAGAACAATACAAAATGTTAACAAGTATGTTACATGAGGATATCTTATATATAAAATTCTCGTGTCACAATGTTAGTTACCATACTCCTCCGAAACGGCTTGACCGATATTTATCAAATTTTATATGCATATTCAGTAGGTCTGAAAATCGACTACTATCTATTTTTCATACCCCTAAGTGATAAGGGTTGTCCACCCCTAACATTTTATTTTTATTTTTTGGACGAAATTTTATAATGTGCCATCATAAAATACATACAACCCCTAATTTTCAACTCCCCACGATCAACTCCTATTTTTATTGAACTAAAAAAATGTTTCCTAGAAATAATTACGTGGCAAAACGACGTTTGAGGGGTCAGCTAGTTATGTATAAATGATAATCGTAAACTCTAGTAAAATAAATTGTATTGTCGTTGTAGTAATTATAATATACAAATAGCTATTGCATGTTACACCAATATAATTTTATCATTTAATTATTAATAAGAGCGTTAGTTTAATTTATATTTAAAATATACATGACAACAAAGTATATTAAAAATCTTAAACAGAAAGCAATAATGTAAAACGCAAACTCAGCACTTAAGCAACTTTGTGTACGAAAGGTGCTCATTGAATCGGCACAACATAAATACGAGTTATACAAAGTTGTTCTCGGATATAGAGATATCTTTTAAGTTTTCCTATTACCCAAATGTGATTGCTAGCAATTGAAAACTACACACACAGCAGATATGACGGTGGCTTGCTTTGAAATGGCTGCATCGTAAGTTTATTACTCGAAGTGGGTTGCTTCTAGCGCTTTCAAAGTTTGTCGTGATAAATTGCTGTGTCATGTGACTACATCCAGTCTCCCTGTATTATCTTAAGCCGTTGGCGTAAGTGTACTCGCATTGCTACCGGATTTAATTAATATATAACACTTGAAATGATCGTTGGTTTTAACAAACGGTCTTTGTTACTAGGGTAATGCGAAATTGTTTAATGGATAGCAACAAATATATGTACGAAATATATGGAGAATGTTATTTATCTGATTTGTGAAATAAAGCTTAGATTAAGCGACTTTGAGCAGCTCTTCGTGGGTATATTTGGAATCACACTCACTTACTCCGCTGACTCTATGATCCAACATGTGTCTTGGCTTCCGAAACAAAAACAACGTATTCGGAATAATAAAAATTCGTATACTAAATGTATTTGTTAAACGTTATAACAACTGGCAATATCGAGCATTATCATATTGTTAATTATTACGATTAAAATGACGCAATAAGAATGTATATAGCAAATAAGATTTATACTCTCTAGATGTAAGTTCGCCTCACCACCACACAATGGGTGTGTCTTTTCTTTAGATGTAATTCCAACGAGTGGTTGACTTGTGTACAGAAAATATATATTCCATAGACTTAAATATTGTCACTCTACAAATATAATAAGCCCGAGAAGAAATAATTTCTTTTAAGATAAGCTTTTATAGTACGCACCAAGATTACGATTTCTGAATAATCGTTAAAAACACTGTTCCAAGAATATTTTCTTTGAAATCTCAAATATAATAAATCGGGTATGGTTTAATTATATTTTCCTAAAAAGTCGATCAATTTATTAAGCCAAATTGAAATCGTTTAAGGTGTTCGACAAAAAACGCTTCACGTATACCACGAGAATTATTAATATAAATACATACTAATATTTTCGCGTAGTCGGATGTTAACGTTAAAAACTAATCCTAACCTATTCTAATGCACTCAATTCTTAGCTAAGGATTCTTTATATGTTCTTCTTCGGAAATTTGTCGGATTTAGCGAGCGACTCTCAACCCTGGCCATGCGTTACAACCACGGATGTGGAAGTTTATTTCAATTTGCTTAATTAACTTCCTCCTACAGTGAAGATAAACATGGCGAGGAAAACCTATGTGACGACATGTGTCAGACACAGATGGCTCTTTGTCTAAAAATTAAAAATTATCAAAGAATCGGATGAAATCTGAGGCCAATGCTCATATGGGGTTGTAACGGCACTGGATTATTATTATTATACTTTAATGACACGTTACATATCACGCGAGAAGTCGGAACGGTTTTAAAATCAACAGAAATAATTCAAGATTGTTACAATCGAGTAATGATAATAGAATTTATATATTCGCGATTACTTATATATTAACTGTTTTGTCCAGTGTGTCTTTAGGAAGGAACTTAAACACAAGAGTTTTCCTACCAATAAAGCTACATTTTTTTAAACATGATTCGTACAAATAAATTTCAATTTATATTTCCTATTTATTTAGTTTAGTCTTATAACATCAAATAGCGGATTCATAAGATAATGAACCGTGGATTCTACTTGAGTTGCATTTTATGAGAATTTTAAGAAAAAATTGATCAGCAGTTTTGTCCATAGATTGTTTGTCGATGTCACCTGTACCTAACCACATTTTTGTTCCTAAGCCCTTAGATAAAAATATAATGTGTAATAATTAGAAAAAAAATATAGTTTGAAGACCATGAATGAAACTAGTGATCGTGGATTTATAAAATTGTCGGTGAGTGATATTTAAGTTTTTTTTATATGTAAGCCAAAACTGGAAGTGGGTGGGCCACATGTTCCAACTCATATTGCCAAGCCAGCTCTCGACTGGAATCCCAGAGGCGAAATAAGCTGGAATGATCTGGAGTGAAGTCAAAAGAGCAGACTAAGACCGATCAAGTTGGTGTTCTACGCTGAGCAGAGCCGCGGGCAGAGCCCTATATGGGCCCTATATCGACTTTTATTAGGGAAGCAAGAAATATCGTATATCCTTATAATTTTTAACAGTATTTAAATTAATTTTTTGCCGATAAATCGAACAGCGTTGAGACGGGATAAACAAATTCCAAATTTAAACAACCTGATAGACAAGATGGCGGATGTTTATGATCCGATGTGTTCCATTATTTGTTAAATTACTCTGAGTATTTGAATACATTTATTTAAATAGACTGAGAGAATTATAAGTAAGTTAAAGAACTATTTGGAAAAGGCTGTGTCAGTTAGGAGGCTTACTTACGATTTTATCAGTAAAACCTATAAACATTGTGATATTCAGTTGACAGGTGTTTGATTAACTAGTTAAATATTTTTATCGGTAGGGCTGGGCTATCTATATTGTTGCGATTAGTATCCATTTTTTTTACCAGTATAAATTTTACTTTTTTTATGGTTTACAAATAGTATTTTAGTAAATATATTCTATATACTTGTATAGTATTATATAGACTGGTTCATACTGTCTATATTTTTATAGAATAAAATATAAAATTATGTATAAGAAATAAGAAAAACATTTCACGGCAAGTTAAATAATGTAGAGGCTAAAACAGAACAAATAAATTGAACATACCTGCAAGCTCGGATGTACGCCTAGCTGTAATAAAGTCCTGACCACTCCAAGATGACCCCTATTTACTGCCATATGTAAAGGGGTCTGCCCACTTCTGTTCCGCGCGTTGAGATCAGCCCCAGCAGCGGCTAAGGCTCTCAAGGCGCCGGGTTCATCCCCAAAAGCGGCATGATGAGCTGCCCTATCACCATCCCGATCTTCAGCATCCGCATCAGCTCCAGCTTCGATTAGTTTTTTAATCACTTCTACGTGACCGTTCTGAGCTGCTGCCTGCATACAAAATGGTTTGTATTTAAGTAAAATGCTGTCTTTGGTATATGCGAATGTTATCTACACTAATATTATACAGAGGATTTTCTTTGTGTTTGATACATATTTTTCCGGAGAATGATAAATCTATCAGATTTCCGTATCTTTTTCGTGATTACTTGTTTTTTCTAACAGGCAAGTAGTGGTCTATGGCATATCGGTTTCCTGACGATGTTTTCGTTCACCGTTCGAGCGAGTGTTAAATGTGCACATAGACAATGTCCATTGGTGCACAGCCAGTACTAGAACCTACGACCTCAGGGATGAGAATCGCACGCTGAAGCAACTAGGTCAACACTGCTCAGATTAATTAATCGTTAAGGTCCGCAAATTTTGCTGTCACAACGGCTGTAAATGTCTTAAAAACGAATTAGTGTAAATTTCAATGTTCTATTACTTCACTACACAGGTATAATACATATTATTACGATTTTCATGTATTTGTCTACATTATTATTTTGCAAATTAATTATTTGATGACTGTGGAGGAAGAATGAAATATGGAAGACTGAGGAATTAATTGCAGCTAACTTCTAGAAAAATTGCCCTTCCTTGTTCCTGCCTACCAGACCCGAAATCGTTCTTCGTTTCACGTTCCTCACATCTACACCAACTATGTAAAAAAACTTAGTTTTGTATCTCGGACATACAACGACGACAATATGTTTAAAAGGTGTATTAAGAATATCCAAAGCGCTAAATAGCCGGCATCATGTACATTGTAGTACCTTTACTTTCACACCACCACAAAACACAGCCGAATTAGGTATAAGTTAGTTAAATGTATTTAATCATTTTATTGATTTTTTCCTTTCGTAAATGTGAACCTTTTTGTATATATTATGTATTCCATCTTCAACTATATCTTTAGTATATATTTTTTTTGTTATATATAATTTATGTTAGCTGTAGGATTACGAAATAAGTAAATTGAGTAATAAATACCTGTTTAAACTGAATTATATTCGAAAAGTCCATTCTTGGTATAATTTGGCAAGAATAAATTAACTTTTTAAACATAATACAATAAAAAGGGCTATCGATTTTAAGTATGGTAAAAACTATAGGTGAAAATCACAATATATATATATAAACAATATACCTGCAAGGCAGTATGTCCCGCTGAAACCCCATTAACATCAGCATCATCAGAACCACCAAGAATATCAGCACACCGAGCAGCATCTCCATTTGCGGCCGCCTTAACCAGTTCTTCATTAGCACTGCCATGACACTCAAAAAGACGTTTAAGCATCATCGAGAGACGCACACCTGGAATGGAAATTTTGTTCAGTTAATTTAGATAAGTATTTTTTGTTTTTAAGACCTTTCATGTAAGCGATGAAGGCAACCGCGGATGGTGAAGACGGGTTTGGTAAAGGCCTTGCCATACTTGCCTGGACCAAATCCAGGACGTACTAGAGAAGGGACATGTTCAAGGTACCGAGAAAAAGGCGTGAATATATAAACAAATAAATAATAGATAAATAGAAAACTAAAATAATTTTAAAAAGTTTGATTCCTAAAAATAATATACAAGTTTTACATCAAGTTATTTTTCTGAAATGATCAGCCCTACCGGGGAACTGAACCCGAGATCTGCAGTTAAATATGTTATTACGTAGTAGTATAGCTACTAGTCCCGTACGTTGATAATGCGACTGGCGGCCATCTTAGTGACGTAGTCGATCTGTCAGTGTAAGTACAGTGCGCAAGGTCACCCAGCACTTACGCGTATTGAGTAGATCTACGACGTGTTTTTTATTGCTTTTTATTTTCGTTATCGTGTTTTATTTTTGTTGTTTAGTTTTGATATCATACTTGTCCTATTAAAATGAGCAAAAAAGTAATAAACAGCCGTGCTCGTGAAATGATTATTAAAGTGGACAAATTTCGTTAAGGAGAAAGCGGACTCTAAGTTATTGATTCAAAATATAAACCAAGAAATAAAATATAAAATAAGAGCAAGCAAATAAATTAATATTATAATTATTAACTTTTTTGTTGTCTGTACTTTTCTGCGGTGGATGACGTCACGCAGCTGTTATTGTGACAAGGTTCCATCGCAATATCAACGTGCGGGGCTAGTATCAATAGTTAAGTCTAAGGTGGTAAATTAATCTCTTTTACTGATGTTTGAAAAGCTGTCAAAATATTGTCTATGAATTTAAAAAAATACTGTATACTGTACAATATTGTGACTTAATATACAAATTCGATAACCGGCCTTAGAAAAAAAATAAAGGCAAATACGTGGCCTTTGGTACATAAAGATTCAGATTCGAGACTTAGCGCTTAGAATTCTACATGTCACAACTTGAACCGTAGCCATGTATGGCTTAACCACTCAGCCGGCACCTAATCAAGGAGAAAATTAATTTTACATTTTCCGAAAGAACTTATCTGGAAGATACTCTGAGCGCTAAAATACGGAATACCCTTAGGTCCTGTTGAAAGACCTTACTTCATAGGACTGCTACTGCTTTTTATAAAATGTGTGTGTGTGTTAAAGACCCACCAAGAAGGCCACACTTAAGAAAAAAAGAAGGGTGCGTGTACTAGGTGTACACACGTAAGAAGTGAAACTTCTTTATGACCTTATTTTTCGAAAAATGATCTACTATATGCAACTTTATAGAAATAGAAAAGATAAAGTTTAACAAAATGCTTTTATTATCATAGACATGAATACAAATAATACAATTATTTCATTTTACCTTATTGTTACTAAGATTATTACAGAATTTCATTAATTGCAATAGAATTATTACTATCATTGTTATCGTTATTATATATTTTTGTTATTAATGGCTTCGAATCTCTTCGGATCAACCGTGGTAGGGACAAGAAAAAGATGGCGCGTAACCGAAAAAGGTGACGATTTGCTACAAAATTTCTCCCATACGTCGATAAAGAAGTTTCACTTCAAAAAATAATATGTGGCCTCAATAATTCAATAATTCTTATAAAAATATCTTACCAGGAGATACGTCAGACAAACCGCCATTTGCAGATGCAATTTTGGTAACAGCACTGGGATTGTATGTCCACGTCATATTGCACACTTCCACTTTCAGGTCATTGTCATGATAGATCTGCTGGACCCGTCCCACTTTACCCAGGGTCTATAAATATATTATGTAAGTCAAGCCGAGTAGCACAAATTAAAGTAAAACTAGAATTTTACCCATTAAAGTAATAAATGTGTTCTACCCAAGCAAATTATGAAACAATTCTTTCATTCATAAACGTGTTTTATGCAATAATATTTTTAATATGCTATACCGCTACTGGTAATTAAGTAAAATTATTTGAATTCGGATATTTTTTTGTCTATAGATATTTTATGTCTAACATGAATATGATAATTAAGATTTTTTTATATTTATATGATATTTCACATACATTTTCGATAGAACATATTGCAATACTTTTACAGAAAACTATTTATTTCCATGAGCCCAAAGTCGCAATGAACAGCTTTTACTAAAAAGAATTTCTATTCCTAGATTATTTAATTGTTTTCAATTTACTTACAAAGTCCATAGTCTCAGCCCATTCACCATGACCTCGCTGCAAAGCCTTAACTCTCTCCTTATCAGAGCATATTTGCACAATATCACCTACCGCAAATGTATTCCCACTAGAGGGACTTGCGGTGCCACTTCCACTTGCACTGCTCACCTACATAAACAAAATATCATTTATTCATATAGCTAACATAGGTCAAAAAATTATTCAATTCTTTTTAATCTTATGTATAAAATTCTCGTGTTACACACAATGTTAGTAATACCATACTCCGAAACGGCTTGACTGATTTTTATCAAATTTTATATGCATATTCAGTAGGTCTGAGAATCGGCTTCTATCTATTTTTCATACCCCTAAGTGATAAGGGTTGTCCACCCCTAACATTTTATTTTTATTTTTTGGACGAAATTATAATTTTTATTTTTTTTATAATGTGCCATTAAAAAATACATACAACCTTTAATTTTCTCCCCTCTACATTCAACTCATATTTTTTATTATAGTAGATAGTTATTTTTATTGAACTAAAAAAATGTTTCCTTGATATAATATACATGGCAAAACAATGTTTGCCGGGTCAGCTAGATTAATATAAATTAGGCATGTACCAGAACTGTGGAGTCTCCGCTACACTTTTTAATAGCCATATTATATGTATTTACACATCTTGTAAAAAGCTGTAACCATTTTTTTTTAAATAGGTGCAATTAAAATACACAGTGAACACTTAAAATACGGGTCTACAGAATCTGAATCTTTGTTAAGAGGTAAGAGTTAGACCATTGACAGTGTTGGCTTAGTTGCTATGGACTTTTCTTTAAGTATGTTAAAACCCTATCTCTGCACCAATATATTTTATTATCTGTATGTGCATTTAACACTTGCCAGTTTGGCATATTCACAGGGAAACCGGCATGTCTTTAACCTTGTATGTTTTTTTTTATTAATTTAATAACAATTTTTTCCTAAATTTTTTAGGATCCTTACAATTTCTAATTTGGTTAACGTACATTTTTGGAAATGAGAGATCTATTGGATTTCAACCATACCTTGGTCAAGACGGCAATATTGAACGTCCATCGGTTCCCACTTGGGTAAGCAACAACTATGTCGCGGTCTTCATCAATGCATACAACAGTTCCTGTAGTATTAAGACTCTCCAACATGGCATCTATCCAGCCACCATGACCAACTTGGAGGGATCTTACAATCTCCAAATCCAAATTGATTGTTACCTTAAAACATATTTTTTTTAGATTATTATACTATTAGACAGAGGATAGATAGACAAGGTACAGATTTTAATATAGTTCATACACATACACGGATTATTAAAAACAAAATGTTAAATGCTCTCAACCTATATCATATATAGGTGATGTTTTAATCACGAAACTTCCACACATACATAAAACATTCAAACATTACATACTGTCTTGGCCCAATTAAATGCTATTATAATTAATTAAAATTTATTAAATACTTTAATGTGCTTGGGAGCTAAACACACTAGCAACTAAACTCACAAACTTTTTAATAAATAATATATTCTTAGAGACAAATTACAATTACAAATCATACCTGATCACCCATTTGAAGTGCATGAGGACCAGTGGTCCCAGGTCTAACCTCTCCCAATAGTGGAAGATGCTCCTTATACACATGTTGACCTTTTGCATCATTCACAACCTGAAATTTAACAAAATCTTTTGTAACATTTTACAGACTAACAGTAAGCATTCCTTAAAATAACATTTTTAATTAGAAATATATTTAATGATAATAATACTTAGATAAAGAAAAGCAAATTTTACAACAGCAAATGTTCTTTACACGTGTAAATATTTAAACACAAAAGAACTAATCCATAAAATAAGTAAATATCTCTCACAAAATTAATTATTTTTTACTAAAATATACAATACACATATAAATATATATTCACACACTCACTTTCAAATCAGCCACACCCTGAAACCCAACTCTATAAAGGTTCTTAGTTCCATTATCCCAAACTACATAAGCTGCTGAACGGGGACTGGCTGCAGACCAATCCTGAATTTCATTGACTTTACCCCTTCTCCCATTCCCACCATCTTGGTCTTCCCACTGCCAGTCAACCTATGAATATATTTTTGTTTTAATAAGAAGCTAGAGCAAATGGTTACTACAATAATTAGTATTTCAATAGGCACTATTGACTAAGTTGCTAATTTTCCAAACAGAGCTTCAATGAACAACATAATATTTAAATGGAGTACTATATATTTTATTAATTATAAATAAATAATATCTCTATACTTGTTCCCGCTAAAGTTGACTTTATAAAAAAAAAATTAAGTTCCATTTTGGAAACTTTATAAATTTTCTACAAAAGAGAAAAATATGGATGCTATCAACGAAATACCGAATTTTCTGGGTGATTTTGGCCAATTAGCCAAATAGTAGCAAATATTTTTGTCTAATTTAAAAATTCTAAAATTCAGTTAAATATTATAATAGCAACAAAATATTCAGTTTTCAGCTATAGACTAATGTGTAAATTATGTATACCTAAATTGATATAATACAAACCCCTCTCACAACCCTAGCTCCAGGGACAATACCACGGACTACTTGTTTTTTGCTCTTCCTTCTAGGTTCAACTAGACATCTCTCTGCTCCTGGTGCACTTATCCGATAGAATCGATGTCTGAGGTTGTGTTTATCTCCATGATAACAAATTGAACATAAGTCATAATTAACACACTCAGCACACTTCCAGCGAATACCTTTAATAATAATTTATATTTTCTAAAATGGCATAACCTAAGGTAGCTTGTTTATGAAACTGTAAAAACTGCAGAAAGCTCAAATTTTTACAATAGAAACTATTTACCAAAGATTGGTTGTTGGCGGCAAGTATCACACATAGTACCATCATGTTTGACACCAGTAGGAGCACTATCAAGGATCCGTAGGTCATATGCACCTGAGCACCGATAATTAGCTACAGTTCCATTATCCCACACTACAACAACTTCTTCTGGAGACTCAAAATTACGTACAGAACCCACGTGGCCTTCTCCACCATCCTAAAATTAGAAACCGTGTCAATTCAAACATAGAACAGGTATGTGAATAAAAAAGGTCAGTGGTTCTGATTCATACCTGCTTGCCCCATTTCCAATCGGGCCCTCTTATTACACGCGTTCCTACAGCTTCCATCATAAATCTTGTCGCTCTATTAGAAGTTGAAGTCTCAGAAGCGTTCGATTCCATTTGTTATTATATTTTCCCTCAAAGAAAAATACTTCCTTAAAACTAACTTTTATTTACTTATGCTTTTGTAGATGTTTTATTTAAAACTTTTATAAGTTACTAAAACGTGTGATCGTGGGTGTTCAATATAGTCAATTTCTTTACCAGAAATATTTATATTACTATTATTAAAAAAATAGTTATTGGAAACGAAGGGCACAGTAGAAGTGGGAAATAAGAATGTTATTTTGGTAATTTGTTGTAAAAAGTAAATAAAGATGACGATTTACATAAAGTCATTTTAACAATTTGCATCGCTTGCGCACAGAGTACTTAATGTCTATAAGAAGAAAGCATACGTCTTATGCTTGATTACTTTATTTGTAATATCTGTTGCATGTCATGAATAAATATTGTCAAATGCCAGATAATTATATTTGACAAGTTGGAACTTTGTGATACTATCATTTTTAAAAATAAATATAATTTCGCCCCGACCGTCTCCGACCTTGCATCTTGCGGTAGAGAAATGTGTAACATTTCTTAATATCTCTATAACATTGATTTTATCTTAATCGCAATACGTAAATTAAAATATATCTTTTTATGTGACAATGTCTCATAACAATCGTAATAAATATGAGAAAGCGCGAAGACGATTAGCCGCGGTTACTTTTCTATCTAATATTTCCCTTGATGGCTCATTCAAGGATACTGAGCTTTGCCAAATTTTAGACATAAAATATAACAGTGATAAGTGTGACGGCTCAAAACTAAAAAATATTCCAAATCATTATGAAAAAGATACAACGCGCAGCAAAAACCGCAATGCGAAAATGCCGCAGTGTAGTCCAGCACACAATAACGATAATCATTCTATAACTTCTGATCCTGAATACGCTCATGTAACACCTATAAAAGTAGTTAGTAATAATCTAATAAGAGAAAGGTAGCAAACATTTATTGTATTTGGTCTGATATTATGTTCACAGAAATCTTACAGTATTTTATGTTTAGGTGTTCTTCTGGAAACACAGACCTATTTAAAGACAGACACCTATCGCTTAGAGGACGAAAAACATGCACACAAGATGAGAAAAGTAGCTTAGAAAGTTTAACCTTTGGTAATTACTTTCGTTCTTTTCTAAACACCATACATAATTTACAATAATAAATCTATTATTGTGCATTATTGTAGGTCGTCTTAGAACCAGTAGTACTTGTATTCCAGAAAACCAAACATATATTAAGGAACTGAAGTTGATGAAAGGGACCAAAGGAGTGACTTTCAAAGATGAAAGACTTGTATTTGCACCAGCTCAAGGAGTGCCATGTGCTTTATTCAGTACTATACCATATTCTAAAACTGCTAGATCTGCAAGGTAAATGCTACATCATTTTAGACCTTCATTTTAATAAACAACACATCTTCAGCTATTTATAAAATAATGTAACAATAATTATAGGTCTGACTTGAGGAAAGATGGAGTGAGAAGGAGGAATACATCAGGCCCTAGACCACTTTCTGCAATTACAGATAATGGTGTTGATCCATTTGACTTACTTGGATTGGAAAGAGAGGAACATGGTCAAGATATCTCATACTCAAAGTTGTTGGTACCCTCTCGAGTCTGTACACGAGAACAGTATAGGAAGATGTGTGAAGCAGATTTTACAGATAAGGCCTCTTGGAAAGTAATAAATAGACATCCACATGTCATTGCCAGGTATAAAAATATTATATAAAACTTTAATTGTCATTGTAGCTTCATGCATGATACTTAATATAATTATTGTTTATGCATTTTTGGTTCATTATGTTCACCATTCATGTTATCTAAATGTAATTCTGACTAAATGTTTGGCTAAACTGTTGAATAGGTGAAGTGGTATTTTGACTTTATAGTCTTCATGGTTAAATGGACGGGAAAATTAATAATAAGTCAAATTCCATGTCACCTATTGTATAGCCTGGTTAAATGTTCAATGTTTCTGACTGAAAAAAAAAACACTTTTCTCTCTAATTTCATCTCATTTTGCATAAATTTCAGGACTAAGTTATTGACGAGACACAAGGATAAAAAATGGTAATGATATGTTTAATAAAGGTTGATAGTATATATTTTCTAAACACTAATAATATGCTGTAGAATTTTAATAACCAACTTCTAATCTAACTAATCTTTGTGTAAAACAATGGTTTTTAAATGTATATATTAATATTAATTGTATTTACAAAATCATGGGATTAAGTAACACAAATAAGAAATTTGTAAATAAATTCATTTTATCATTTGTTTTTCTAGTCTAGCTTACTAACTTTTAGATTAACTACAATTTAAACTCTTTATATTTATTGTACATTGTTACATATAAAACCCGCTTAGATGATAACATAATGTATAATATCCTTAAATTTTTGCCTAAGTTACTGTAGAATTATTATGCAAGAACTTTTTATTTTTAGAGCTGTCTTTTCTTCTTGTCTTTGCTATAGGTAAACTAGGTAACATTTTTTTAGAAATCTGTTCGTCTGTATCATACACCCACTAACCAGTTTTAAGGAAATGGAAGGATATTAGTACATTATATTTGTTGAAATTTACGTAGATTTAATTGTTGAAGCTTCGAAAATTATGCATGTCGAGTTTTGGTTTGCAAAGCCTATTAGAAAAGCATGGGTTAAATCCTTGTTTATCACTGAAATGTTAAAACGTTACAAATTTCCAGGTGCTTCTCATATGAATCTGCTCAACGTAGTACAATTGCATCGTCACCGCCTCATTCCTCCATTGAAACCAAAACTTTTGACTGGGATGAAGAAATAATATTGGCACAAAAATATGTAAGCAAAAAGGTAATTGCAGCTTTAAGCTATTATTTTGAAAAATCCATCGTTATTTATGAATAGACTTAAGTTCCGTTTATCTTTTGACTAAGATATTGTCTAAGATATGCATGTTAACTCACAATGCTGTAGGTGTTACTTTTTCATTATTCCACTTTAGGGTTGCCTGGAAGAAATCGCTTGTTAGCGATAAAGCCGCCCGTTGCCTTATAACTTTTGTAACCGGCTTTTTTTATTTTTGTCATGTGTATGTTTTTAAGGTAATAATATGCTTTTTTACTTTGATTAAGGTAATAAAGTAATAATAAATAAATTTAGTTACTAAATTAATTAAGTAGACTATTGATTTTAATCTTTTGTTACTTTTTCTCGCCTTTTGCTTTTCATTTTAGTACATATAGGAGACCACGTATCGGATTTTCGAGGTTTAGCAAATCATACTAAAGTGTTATATAATGTTATTTTTATTGAAAAATCGTAAGAAGTAACAATTAGCTATGCAATAAACATTTAAAAACTTAGATCGTACATATATTCTCTTAGTTACCTATTAAATTAATTAAAGAGAATATTTAGGATAGTGTTAAATAACGGATCAGAAAAGCTAATTATGAGATCAATTTTCACATATATTTCCTTTTTAATCTGTAAGCTCGTGAACGGTACTGAAAAAATCTTAGCAGCTTTACGTAAGGTCAACTCTTTGTTCTGGACTTTATTTACAGCCTCTTTATTTTTTTTGAGACCATTCTCCGGCATCAGTCTTTCTCTTGTACGTGCGAACCATCTACAATGAAATAAATATGAATCAATAACCTCAAACATGTAATAAATCATTTAAAAGTATGATCCAATTCGCCCCTGAGGATATGATCCGATTAGCCCCATAATTAAGACTTTTGAAATAAATATTTTAGACGTTAACCTCTAAGATTATACTTAAAAGGAATTGGTTCTTTAATATAAACACCTTGTTGATAATATAAACCAATTAGTTGAATTTTAAGACAAATCCTCATATGACAAAAAGAAATGTAAGTACGTACCTTAGATGAGCGCCAAATTGCGACACACAAAAAAACAGTGGCTAAGGGCATTCCACTGATCCACAAGCACGATCGAAATACTCTATGTGGAGGGGCTCAGTAAATGGATAAAAAAACGCGGTTGAGTGCGTTCTATGTGAATGTGATATTTAAATTATCAACAGATTTTTATTTTGATCCATTCGCCTGTGAGATGGTCTACCCTACATAGACTGCTACTTACGCGTCGACAGATAACAATTTCTGTTAATGATTCGTTTAAATAATAGCCTTCATTAAATGTAGGATATTTATTGCCTCTTAAGTTTGTTACAATATTCGGGATATTTACGAAATTGTGCACAGAATAGTATTATTACGCATGTTACAGATCCACTACTCCCCAAACGTACTTGATGATCCAGAATTGATAGCTGGTAAACACAGGACGCTTCTAACATTTACGTCTTACATGACGTCAATTATTGACTACGTTCGCCCTCAGGACTTGAAAAAAGAACTTAATGACAAGTTTCGAGAGAAGTTCCCTCATATTAAATTGACACTTAGCAAACTAAGAAGGTAATAAGTTAAATAGATTTTACGTTTACATATTATATAAAAATATTTAATATTTTTTAAGCAGCGCTAATAATAGCGCTATTTATGAATTTAAAAGTTTTGCTTCATTTATAGTTGTGAAAGGGTTGGGTAAGTAAAATGAAGGAGAACATTTTGCTATTTTTTTGTCCCACAAGATTGTGTATATTTTAAACAAATATTCTAAACTTACCAAACTATATAAAATAATTTTGCATGAAATAAATATAATATATAATAACCTAGATTTGTGAGACTTTAAGAGATCGGGCTTAATTTTGTATATATTACATACTAATTTAATATTTCAGTATAAAGAAAGAGATGCGGAAAATCGCTAAACACGACTGCGGAGGGATCGATCTGTTATCTGTGGCACAGGCATATGTTTATTTCGAAAAATTAATTCTTGCCAATCTTATTAACAAAGACAACAGGAAGTTATGCGCGGGCGCCTGCTTATTACTTTCGGCTAAATTGAATGATGTTAAAGGCGAAATGCTTAAAGCTCTTATAGAGGTAAGATTTTTTTCTAATAAATTTTGAGATAAAGGAACTGCGTCGCGCTGGAAGGAATGTTTATCAACTTTGGAAAAATATTACTATTTTATTTTACAGTGTTTTACTTTTTTGATTGTTGTACATATACTTTCGTTCAAGTGTTTTTAATGTATGATAAAGATAACATTTATCACAATGCTCTGCCAAAACAAGTTTGGGCCCTGTCATGTGTCAAAAAGACGTTTTTCTACTGTTTCTGATCAACTCTTACCAATCGTCTATTGTATTGTAATGTGTGCATTTCGGTTCGAAAGGAAAATCATAGAAATTCATACGCATATATTTTATCATTGCAAAATGCACTATAAGTATGAATTCTCAATACCCCTTTACCATAGATGGAATGTGGACACGAAAAGTATGCTTTATTATAATAGTGGTCATAACATTTTTTTGTAGCGAATCGAAACAACGTTCAGACTGAATAGGAAGGATCTAATTAAATTTGAGTTCGCTGTATTGGTCGCTTTGGAATTCGGCCTTCATGTCCCGCCCCATGAGGTCTTTCCGCACTACCAAAGACTCCTGCACGATTCGTGACGACGTCTTTCATTTGAGATCGGTCGTCCTTACCGCGATTATCGATCGCATCGACGGCGCGCCTCTTTCGTTGAAAACTTTCGTGCTAATGCCTGGATATAAACTAACAGATAAAATTGTCTTTGCGCTACGCGTTGTGCAACTTCTTTAATAGATAATTAGAGAAGTAGAGTTTGTGCGGAAAAAGAGCTGTCTTGGGATTTGAGGTCGTTGTAATGCTAACATTGCTAACCTATTTCGTTATGTTGACAATGCTGATACGTCATTATAGTTCGATAGTAATCATCTTGATACTTAATATGAAATAATTAAAAGTATATATTTGTAAACAAATGAAACGGGTAGCAAATCTATTATATTAGCCGGCATAAATACATCGGTTCTCTTTCCGCCCAGACTCTGAGAGTTTCTCGTTGACCAGGATTGTTTGAAACGTCTAGTGTATTGTAAATTTGAGGTTATATAAAAAATAAATTATTGAACACTAGTTAACCATGTTTGTAGATATTAAAGGGACTATAATACAGTGTTACTCTAGAAATTAGATAATTATTTGTATGCTCATGCAACAAGCTAAGGAAATATAGCGTCGTAAGCGGTAAATAGCACAGACCTGAAAGAAAAAACAAAATAACATCCATTTTTTTTCTTTTTAACTTTTCATTGTCTTTCGATGTCTGGGTCTAGTTAAATGTAAATGTTACTTAAGGAGATGTTATATTTATATCATATCCGTCTATTATACGGTCTAAGAACGAATAGATGGGTCGTTTCTATCCGTAGATATAATGCATTGTCGCGGACTTCTACATAGGTGTATTAGTAGTCCTATATGCAGCCCTCAAGGCTTTATTGATCACAAAACAGTGTGATATTTGTAACTATTTAAACTAAAGTAGACAGCGAAATTAGTTTAGATCTTATAGTACATTGGAATGTCGATGTGCCAAAAATTTATTTATGTTTAAATGTTATTTGGTGATTACGTCAACTGTAACTATTCATTTTTTTACACATATTACCCACACATTGTCTATGCCTGAAAATGAAATTCATTTTCGAGGATTCCTACAAAAATTAATACGTTTATGTCTTATTATTTTTGAGAATTTTGCTTACTTTTGCTGACAACTTTACGTAATACTTGAAAGGCCCCATAAAACAGCTGGAAGGCCTGGTAGTTCCCAAACCGCCCACGGAACGCTACTCAAGTGTTAATACTAATAACATATGAATCAAATAGTCTTTATAAGGGTCATATAAAGGTGCTATGGTTAAGAAATTGTTGGAAGACGGATTTTACTATTAGGATAAAAGAAATATTATAAATAATTAACAGCTCTCTTTAATACCAAAAACTGTGAAACTTATTAGGAATAGGGATAGTAATGTATTGCTAACTTGAGATGGTAATTGTTGAGTGTTCCTTCAATTTAAAAGATAAAAATTAAGGTTTATCTCCATAATTAAAATTATCCTAGCAACATATTTTGTCCTTTTCAAACATACAACGTTTGTACGTACAGGAGTAAGAAAATATTACAGCAATACATAGCAAAAAATACTGGAAATACGTTAAAAGAAAAATATATTTTAACAATGCCTTGAGATATAGGAACGCTATTTGAAGTACACTCATCTGATATTAGTTTTCAGTTTTCCTGTAACAATTGTGGATCTAAATAATTAAATTTTTGTCCTACATCTGCGCTTACTGTTCGATATCTCTTGGAAGTGGAACGTTGTATGTTGTAAAGAGACTCGTAGCAATTACGATTATTTTAGATTTTTGGGCTTAGCCGTTGTTGCCATGATGCTAGTGAAAAGTAACATCACTTTATGTTTAACTTGCCTGTTTTTATTGTTATATTTTTGCTCATCGTATACGAAACGAGGCCAAAGATTATTTAAATGTAGTTATAATGATAAAGATAAATATATAACATCCTTGTATATATTTTAGTTCATAATTCAAATGTTTTTTTATATATTTTTTTATATACACTCCACCAATATATACCTACAAAAGAGATTTTAATATATCGGCGGACATTGATCTCAGCGTCACAGTGACACAAGAATGAACAAATATGGAATGAATTTTTTAGTAAACAAATTTAATTACTTTCTTATTGGCTCATGTCCGCTATTTCCTAAAATATATTTAACTCTGACACTTTCCAAAATCTATTTTTATGGAGCCGTTATATATATTTTATTATTTATACACACATTTTCTTTATAATAAAGGGTACGTACAAAACGAGTGTGATTTGTAGTACGTATAGATTGAATGGAACATAATATATTTTTATATTTAAGCCGAGTACGCACAGTACAAAATTATTTGCATTGTTTAAATATTACGTAGGATAAACACGCTCGCGATCTCTTTCGCCTAATCCCGCTCAAAAGATGAACTTACATATTTTTTTCTTATCCTTTTTAGCAACAAATATGATCTGATTAGACGATAAAGACGCCGAGTAAATCATTTATATGAGTTTATATAAATAGATTCATATGTATATCAATGATTATTATGTGTTTTGCAAGTTTAGTATGTGTTTGACATGTTTGCTGTAAACATATATAAATAAAAAAATTCTATTACAGTTTCTATTAATTCAAAGATTTTATTATATTATGTATTAAATGCATAAAAAATAACTCCTAGCTTTTAATGTTAAATGTGATCTAGTTATGTCAAGTATCAATGTATTGTATTACAATGAATGCAGATAAAAGTATGATTAATAAATTATTTGACAAAATTTTGTTTTTCTGTAATTTATCAGATTTCGAATCCTATAGGTTACAAGATATAGCTTCAGCATAATTATAAGTTCTTTTAGACCGTATATATTAAAGCCTAAGGCAAATTACCGAAAAACTTTTTTTTTAATATACGTAAGCTGTCTATATTAAGACTATTATTTATTAGAGTATGTATTGAGTTATACACAAGATCAATTTAATTATATGTACCTACATAATTTGAACATTCTACGGAAATTTTGTTTGGTCAAGTCAACGATTTGAAGCTCCTCTGAATAGTCCTGTGCTTGTGCTGTTTGGAAGAATTTTTTAAATAATTATCATTTCAGGACATATCTACACATATTATTACAGAAATATCTAATTTACAAAAAATATTAGTTAGCATCACGAAAAAGTAAGAACTTCAAAAATTAATTCTATAAATTATATAATAATTCAAGAAGTAATGTATCTATATATATCGCTTGAAAATTTTATTCAAATATACTCATTGTTTTAAAATTATAAACGTCAGTGCGCTACTAAGACGTTTGCAAACCACTCTCATTGCGTATGATTCGTCCATAATAAAACTAGTTTGTATTAAATTACACGCGTGAATAAAAGTTATGAATATACACGTTGCTTCAGATATTACAAACCTACTTTTACTGGTGAATTATGCATTACAAACGATTTTCAGCAATCGTGTGTAAGCCACGAGCGTGCAATGTATTTTCAAATAAAACTTAATTGTGCTCTGTTTCATTAATAATTTGTAATGGAATCAAAGGTAAGATATTGACATCCATAAAATTCATAATTATTGCAACAAAATATATAAGGTCACAATGGACGTTTTGGACTTGGACTTTTATTGTTAATATATATATTTATTTAAATAAGTTATATAATTTTACTAATGCATCATAACTTTTTATAAAACATTACAATAGTAACGTTAACTGTATAAACTGAATTTTTGATATCTCACAAACATTTTTTTTTTAAATGTTTAATCTCGATTGTAGGCGGTACTATTCTTTACTGTGATGGGATGTCTGAGTTGGTGCTCTAGCGGAAATTCTAGCGAAGAAGGGCAATCACTGCAGAGAATTCCGGTAGATGGCATAAGACCCACATCCGATACGGAATCAAGTACCAACCAGTCATGGAGAAGCTGGAGACCTTGGAAATTCTGGCAATGGGGTTAACATTATTGATTAGTTTCTTAAGCTTTCATAAATATAATATTTTTATACGGATTTTTCTTATTAGGTGGGTCCGCGTTAAGAGACGGCCTAACACACTCTTATGATCTAATACAGAGTGCGTCTAGAAGACCTTACTTTTATAACCATCACCTTAATCACAGACATAAGCTGAAGAGAAAAATTAAATTTCTTTTAAAAATACAAAACTTTGAAAGATACATGTTGTTTTATTTTTATGGACAGAATCGTCTTCCAGTGGAGGTCTTCCCAGGGAGATACGGCCTTCAATTATTTAAAAAAAGCATAATCCTTTCTAGCACTAGCATGGATGTATGGTCGGTACTTGCCTTTTTATGGCTGTTCTGTCTGTAGTCTCGTTTGCCCCATACAGAAAAAGTTCACCATTGGTAATAGAGTTTTTAAATACGTTACCTAAATACTCCTAATGCCCAAATCTAGATTAGACATAACACTCACACACATACAACAGACAACAGGTGCTTGACAGCCAATTGACATGACGGCAGGAAAATATATTTTGCAATATAACGAATTAGATACTGGAGCTGGATTAAAGGACTTGAGATTAACTAACAATAATATTGCATCATGTATTATGTGGACTCACAGAAAACTTTAACGCGCCGCGAAAGTTCTCTTGTCGTTGAAAAAGATGAAACTAAAAGCGAGTATGAGGCGTTGTCTACCGCGCGTGGTCAATCCACGGCGCGTCTTGTTAGCGAATCGGGGGCTTCCCTAATAGCCCGACAGAGGGGTTCTGTTCAGAGGGAACTGGTCACTCAGTTGTTTGAGTCTATGCTAGATCATATTGTAGAATCGTGGTCGGTTATAGAGCCTCCAAAACCGGAGGAAGGCCCCACAGAATTTCCACGCACAGCTAGTGAATTAACATTGCCAGGCAAAAAGAAGAAAGCTATTAGTGGTACGTATATGAATCATTCGTATAAAGATGTAATATACCCAAGCTGTTCTATGTTTCAGGAAAATCCAGTAAAAACAAACGAAGTCAGTCGAAAATTGATTTAGACAATACACAGGTATGTATTAAGTTCCTCAAAAGTTTAAACCTTTAATGCCTTACATAGAAATGATGTTCTTTGAGTTGCAATTTAAATATTAATTATGGTCCGTCTACCTTAATTTCGTTATTGCAGCAAGAAACAGCTTTGCCTCAAGGTCACTGGTCATGTCCAGACGAAAGAGCTATTATAAAATTTCGTAATGGAAATTTGTATGAAGGTAGTATATCAATGAAATGCATGCACGGAGAGGGACGTTTTCAATGGGCCGACGGAACAGTTTATTTAGTAAGAAAAGTCCTAAAGAATACTGTCGTTAATTATATATATGCGTAGGAGAAGATACTTCCCTATGTGTATAGTTTCCTTCCATTAAATGTTATCTTTATAACTAGTAACCTTCTTAGCTAAAGTTTCAGGACCACACAGATACAGTTCTTCTGATAATTACGCAAACCAATTTAAATAACTATATAGATATTTATAAAACAGGGACAATTTAAAGACAATGAAATACGAGGCAAAGGTTTTATTCAGTGGAAGGATGACACTTGGTATGAAGGCCAGTTTGTGGGGAACCTTCGTCACGGCGCAGGATTATACGTAGACTCACGGAAACAGCGCTCTTACGCAGGCGGATGGTTCTCCGGCACTAAGCATGGCTTCGGAGCAATATACTATTCAGGATCATTTAAAAATTCTTATAACGGAGAGTGGGTTTATGTTAGTAACTATAACACGAATCTATATTTAATAGGTCTTTGTATGGCGTCGTTTGTGCCCATTTATAATGCCACACTATTTTTATCCTATTCTATTTTATAAATTCAAACTGCAGATTTTGTTCAGTTTCAAGATTAAAAGAGATTATCTACTTCATAAATACGTAATTTCGGGCAACAGCTCATTATAAATGAAATCCGCGGATTCGATCGTATTGTTTCCTTTATTAATTTATTGAAAATTAAAGAACGTGCGTCATGGCTTTGGATCTCGTGAATATTGTGCCTTAAGTGGTTATAAAGGCTATTGGGACTACTATGTCAGAGAAGGAAAAGGTTTAATGATATGGCCTAATCACGACGTAAGTCCCCATGAATTTCCAACTATTAAATTTTCAAGTTAATTTTGGTTAATGTGAGGTTATTTACGATTCGTTGTGAAAATATGTACAAAATGTATTATAATTACAGTTTTATAGAGGCGAGTGGAAAAATGGCGTCATGTCTGGTTATGGGATTTATATTTGGGATTCCTATTATAACAACGACATGTCTTTACCCTCCATTACTGCATACAGGGGGAATTGGGATAAAGGCCAGCGACATGGATATGGTATACTTAACCTTGGCTTCGGTTTAGGCTCATATTACAAAGGCGAGTTTAAAAATAATAACAAGCATGGTCCAGGGACTTTCATTACAAATGATGGGCTTATATTGCAGGACAAAATGTTGTTTATAGACGACAATTTTGGTCCATTGAACTCTAATCAAGATTACAATAATTATACATTAGAATGCAAACGAAGCCAAACGCAAGAGCCATTCGAATTTGACATTTGTGATCAATATATTGGTCTTTTCTATCATATAGAACAAGCACTTAAGGAGCTTGATAAAGAACAAGAAACGAGAGATATGTTGATAAGGGAATTTTATGAAAATAATAAAATTCTGGGTTCTATATCTCTACAAAAGAACGAGAATGTTAAAGAGAATGAGATAGATTTCAAATTCGAAGAATTTTTGAAATTCGAAGAAACTTCATTGCGTAAAGCGCTGCAATGTTATGAAATACAACTCAAACAAATTTACTATAAATACGCTACAATTTGTAACGAAGAAGAAATTTACTATACGCCAATCCTGATTCGTCTATACTTATGGCAGCTCTATTTCGATTGTAACATTCACGAGAAACATTTAACACTAGTAGAAATCGATAACATTTTTCATGCTAATCCAGAATGGCTTGCCAGGTCGCCTCACAATCCTTTCGAAAAAATTTACTTCTGGCAATTTTTGCACGGCCTTATATCGATTGCTAGGAAGTTGTATGCGAAACGGCATCTGCCTGAAAAAAGACCTGATACGATTCTGGCCAGTGCATTTAGGAATTTTATGGACAACGATGTTCTACCAGGAGTAGGTCGTAAAAAAGGTAACGGTATAAATAACATGATCTTAGATATAAAATCCGACAAAAAACCTGACAATATCATGTACTTGAGTACTATTTAGTATTTTTATCGATTTTTTTTTATTGATAAAAAGCTGGCCAACGCTCGGCACGCTGATTCATCGGTAAAAACAAACTTAAAAGTAGAAGTATTAATTATCATCGTTTCGTCTATTTCAAATACTTAACCTGTTTAGGGAGGCATTGTGGTCTTCCATATCTACGATTCATAACATATTTTTACAGGATTTCTCACCAGTGGATATGGCTTATTTGTGCCCTTGACAGGAACCTATAATTTGTACCGTTGCTTAGGAGAGCCATGTACAGTACGAGACTTTTTATGTGCAATGAAAAGACCACAGCATTGCACCGATTTACTACAACCAACATTTAGGGATGACGAAGTATTGCTAGGTCGAAATGCTTATGTATTTGGCGATGAACTAACCTTTATTGCAGGTGATTTGATATTTTTGTGTTGACAAATTATCAACAATAAAAACATATTTGCCGTTTCAAGTAAATTGCGGTAACTTATCGTCGTGTTTGCTTAATACTACTTTTTTATGAACTAATATTAAATTAGATTTTGCTAATCCCTTTTTCGTAGTTAGTGAGTTTGGCAGTCTCATATTTAGTGGTGTCACTTCACTAATAATTCATATGAAACTTCTTGAACTGATAAAACCGAATTTATAACACAATTTCTACACTACACTACCTACATAGTATTTACGAAGCGAGGAACCATAACTGCTGCGAAGCACTCGGGTCGTTAAAGATTTTTTTATTGTTTTAGAGTCCGCGCAGTTAGAAGACAATTCTAAGGAAGATCTAAAGCTGTTCAACATCGGCAACCTCTCGAGCAAAGCTGTCATTCTCTTTTTCTCATCAATTTTCCCGCAAATTATAAAAAATGACAAAATCATGAGCCTCGACGTAAAATTAACTTACTTTGAATTTTATCAAGTCCTCATCGCCTGCGTTGAAGAAAGCATTCGTTTAAGAAATGAAGAGTTAAAGTGTCAGGAAAAATCCACAACAAGTATTCCTACAGATAACTTGCCTAAGTTAAAATAATTTTCATTTCTCAATTCTTAATAAATTAATTTGTGATAATGGAACTAAGCATTTTTTGCTATCCTATCCTGGGCTCAGTGGTGTACATGGGTTTGCAATATGATAACGCTCGGAAACGCGGCTACTTGTATAATTTTGAACTGCCATTTAAAAACCGAAGGTTTACAATACGACGCGTATGTTTTTTAAGTATTTTGTGAACTAGTACCTTTTTATTAAAATAATAATAGAATAGTGTATGAAAAGATGTCATTCCAATTTCTTAATAAGTACCATAAACAATCAACGTCATTGAAAGACATTTGATTGTGCTTAATTTTTATAAATATTACGTATACTTTAATTAATTAGCAAGACCAAAATGCGGACAAAAAATCCCATGGCTAAAAAGCCACAGCAAATATTATTTTCAAAAAACACATATGGTCCATGGGTGAAAGTTGAAAATTGGGATTTTGCGAATCACGCTGAAAAGAAAGACAATTATGTGTATCGAGATTATTTAAGTAATCATGTCAGTACTTACAACCGTTGGGGAAACCAGGATCAAGGTGTAGGGAAAACTGAAACTGGACATATGCTAGAACAGGTTTTTACAAGAACGGAACCGATTTATGCTTTCAAGCCCTTGGTTAATTTTACGTCGTACCCCTGTACTGAGTGAGTTGCAGTTTTTTGTATTTGTAGAAAAGATAACTTAGGACTACTCTTTACTAAGGTGTTAACTACTAGTATAATTCAATCAATTCAAAGCCCCGTATTCTTGAACGTCAATCAAATTTAAATCTAGTTTAAAGAGCTGAATATTGAAGTTTGGCATATTTGATAGCGCTCCAGACAATATTGTATCTTGAAATACAAGTTAGAATATGGACCCAAGTTAAACTTTACAACAACTTTTCTTTTAATAGCGTTAATTTCTCTTCTTTAATATCTAGATTTAGATCCTTAATTACCCCCCAGAAGAAACAATCTTCATCACAACTCCCTGTTTTGGTAGCTAACTTTACCTAAAGCCGGCGACTGACCTGTAACATTTTACCGTAACTTAAAAAGTTTTAGTATTGTTCAGTAAACATTTGATTCTTTAATGTTTCCATTAACAAAGCCGTTAAATTTCTGTTTTTGTAAAAGTTTGAAATCCAATAACGCTTCATTTTTTTCTTCATTTGGAGTAAGGAATAATGTAGTAAAATCACAGAACCCAGAATCACCGTACCGTCTGCCTAGATTGTACTGTCTATGTAAAACCATACATACAAACATGGGGTTAATATTAAGCAGTCAATCAAATAAAACTGTCCTGTTCCTATCTATAATTTAAAGAGGCGTAATTGAATAGTTTTCTAGATGTTGGCATTAGTTCGTATTCAAGACACGAGATATAATCGCTAGAGAGCCATCACAGATGAGATCGCACGCATTTAGTTACCGACTTCAAAGGGGTTCACCCGGTGTGAATGTGATATTATTGGAATTGGATAATATAGTATAAGATCCCGCTATACAACGACCTTCACCGAGATGCTTATTTAATGAAACTTATTTTATATTTAATTTAATATGTCAATAAATATAATCCATATGGGTTGCCTAGCAAATTTCAGTCCAGAGTATGTTTAATTAATATTTAAAAAAAATTTTTTTTATAATTAGCATGTAGTAAATTTTTTGAACTTTTTCAATCAATATTTTTAATCAGGGTAGTATTATATATGTATCACTATAACCTTCTTTTATACTAAAGATGTATATATACTTTAGTGTCACATAAAAAATATACACATAAATAAGTAATTGATTAAAAACAACCTAACTTTTGCATATTCTATGGGCTTCATACTTTCGATTGGTATAGAATTTATCTAATAATCATACCGGTGAAATGTTTAAAAAAATATTTTTTTTTAAATTAATTAAAAATACTCTGGACTGAAATTTGCTAGGCAACCCATATGGATTATATTTATTGACATATTAAATTATATATAAAATAAGTTTCATTAAATAAGCATCTCGGTGAAGGTCGTTGTATAGCGGATCTTAGACCAATAATAGTACAGTAGAATCCCGATAACTCGAAACTCGTTAAGTCGAACAAAATGTTATTTCCTTACAAAGTATTCGAATTTGAAAAAGGAGACTCCGTAAGTCGTTGTTAGTAAAATATAATGACGTCTTACTTGAATTTCCCCCAAACAATATCAATAAAATCCAAAATTCATGTTCGGTTTCTTGGCTTCTAATATATTGTTTTTGTCCTATACACGTGCAATGAGTGAATACATTCATAAAAGAATATATATAATACTACAAAACTTATTTTGAATTGTTATTTTAATTCGACTCTTCAAATCGAAAAATACACTTAGAAATCGCGCCTCTATAATTTCAGCTGTTAAATCATATGCATCTCGAAGTTCTTGTTAAGTCTAAAACTCGTTAACTCGATTTTTTTTGCCGTTCCCCTGACATTCGAGTTATCGAGATTCCACTGTATTTGAGAATTATGATACATATAATATGAGGCATCTAAGCTCGTGCTAAATTTCTCTAAAGGTGTATGTATGTCTGTACACAAATTTCACGCCAAGTAAAATCCATATCGATTGTAATCAGGTATACCTATTCCAACTTACAGAAGGTTCATGAAAATTAGTTTAGTAGGTTTTGATATGTGGTTTGGTTGAGAAACAATCTCAAGCCAGTATTTTCCAAATCTAGATTTCGCCCCTCAGAAATATTTATTTTTATTGTTAAAAATACTGTTTGTTACACGCAGTACCCCGGGAAGAAATAAATTAATGAAGAAAGCCAACTTAGCGGAATTACCGCATGATTTTGGTGTAATGGACTATTTAAGTACACAACAAAATGACTATAGAAGTCCTTATCCCGGAGTTACAAGACCGGTAAGAGTCTGTTTATAAAAAAAAAAACAATTCACTAGTTTGTATTTAACTTATAAAAACTAAGAACAATTTGTGAACCCCATTATAGAAAAGTAAAACGCACTCGCGCGTTGCACTGTAAGCATTGATATACAAAAACCCAAGATGCACAGTCTCGAATAAAAGTAACGCTCGAAAGTGTCCCGAAACACTATTTCTGTCCATAACAGTATATGTTACAAGCATATATTATTGCAAAATCAACCTTACGCGAATTGCTTAAAGTTGTTATTACAACGCAGTGTATACGTACTTAAAGCAATAAAATTTTACGACCGACCGTGGTCGGTAGGACAAGGTATTGAGTGGAGTCGAACATGACTTTTTTATTTACAACTATTTAACATAATTTTAAATTTATCCGACTTTTCGGGTGCTTTACAGCGTGAGTGGTCACGGTGACTGAAGACAAAAGGTGTTGGATGTTAAATAGTTGTAAATTTATAATAATACATAACATTAATCCGGTTAAAAAGAGTTTTTCTTTAAATTAAAAAAAAAATGTTAAATTGGCTACCTCCTGACCCACATTTTATATAGCGTAAATATATTTGTCAAAAACTACACACAAAAAAGTTCAAGAGTACATAAATTTATTTATAAATAAAACACAAATAAATAACATCGACTCCACTTATAGACGCGAGACTATTTGAAATGAGCGCACAATTTAGAATGTTGCGCTCATTTTTTGAGGACGTTTTTTAGACGTTGATTGTGCATATTGGGTTTTTGTATATCAATGACTGTAAGTAGGTTTTTGCACTTGTATTTAACATCCAAGTATATATTAATATGCTTAATCTAACCATTTAATTGGTTCTATAAGAGTTCGAAGTCAGTATCTCTAATCAGAAAACAAAATCACCACTCTGAGCAACCAAATTTCTCGATTCCCGCTGATTCTTTACTCACCATACACATTAAAATAACACCAAGATCGATCATTGTCATTGTGATTACGTATACTCTTTCATAACTATTTAGCTAAACTCTTTTAATTTTTAATCTATGTAGTTGGCAAGATTTATGTTTTAATATTTCTTAAAACAATTAGGTATTCATATTTTAGCTAACAATGTCTTCCCCACCGTGGTTGTTAAATCGAGTTATACGTTCCGATTTAACTCATAACCATGGCACCGCTCCACCAAGAGGAGATTACCAATGTTTGGATACACATACACCTATTGGGCACATACGAGAAATGAGGCTCTTCCGTTATCAATCATTTAATCCAGCCACCTGCGTTCAAGACTTTCCGAAATTAAAATAAATGTGGTCTTTTAAGACGCTAAATAAAAAAGGTAATAAAAAAAAGTATTTATTCAATCATACCAGTCACAAACATACTTAACTAAATAATAAATCAACTTGAAAAAATTAGGAGAAAACAAAACCTTTAAACTCCCATAAAGCAAACTTCTTGAGATCTAATAAACTGCATTTTGTTATATTGGTATAATTATTATATTTCTTAAAAGAAACTTCTGTTAAATTGATTTAAGGGCACTACCTATGCGAAAAGATTATGATATTCCATATAGCCTCCCTTCATTTAGAGAGTTACTGATAGTCATAAAAATTTATGTGCCAATGGTTTACTTCAATTAACATCATTTTTATACTTAAGTGTAAGCTAGTTACACTTAGTATCTCAGTTAACATAATCATAAAACTAAATTAAAATTATACAACTAATAAGACAATAACATTATTTCATAATCATAAAAACTTAAAAAAATATTGTTTAAACTAAAAAAAAATGTTGACAAAAAATTGTATGTAAACTTTATAATATTACTAATAATCAAAAGGCATACACAAGCACTTGAATAACAGAAAATCATTACAAAGAGAAAAATATAACTGGTGATTTCTAAATACCACATACTTGTCATAAGATTTCCAAAAACAACATAAGAGACACTTAAACAAATTATAAAATCACCAACAAAATCTTAAAAACATTAACACATGATCAGTTTTTACTTTTATCAGTATTTTCTATTTACACATATTTCATGATATATTTTAATTTGGCTATATTTTAAGGATTGGGCAAGGCATAAAATCACGGCTATGTGTAACTTTTTAAAACTATTTAACATTATATAGTTTTCAAATAAAAATGTTGTGCAATGAACCTAGCAACTGAAATATATATTCTGTACCCTGTATACTAAACTTTAATGTAAAATTACATGACTATATCATCTAGTTATAGTTGCTTGTGATTTTTATAGTTGTTATATGTACATAAAGCAGGGCTTAAATCAAGTGATACAACAATTTTAAACATAAATTAAAATGTTACATGTTACTTTAAACCCTGTTTAGATTAATTTATTTTGCTAAAACTCTTATTAATTTGTTTCTTTTACAGTTACAAATCTTATAGTTAATAATATCCAAACTTGCAACCCCAAAGCAAAGATTTTGAATAATCATGATAACACATACTTTATAATTAGTTTGCACATAAAAAGTTATAAAAATATAAATTTTAAAGTTCTTAGTATTATGATGATAATACAGAACTGCAATATTATGCAAAGCCAATATTCATTTTGAGTAATAAGTTAGATATATTAATTTATTATAAATGCTTAGAACTTTTTTACTTATAAATGAAAACTAGATTTATTATAGCACAAATCTAACAGTGTTCTGAAGCTTAATAAAATTGTTAAATTATTAATGAGTTTTCCTCCTTTTAAATCCTTTACCTTTCTTAGATTTTGTTTTGTGTTTACGTGATACACTGCGACTTCCAGTAATTTCATCAGCTAACATTCCAACAGTTGTCAATTTTCTACGACGATTCTTTTCAGCTTTAGTAACTGGTAATCGAGTAAGGTAGTTCTCTTCATATTCTGTCTTCTCTTGCTCTTGTTTAGATATTGAATGTTTGACATAATTTCCTGTAGTTACTTCTGTTGGTGCTTCTGAATATTCTTCCCGAAGTTCTCTCATCACGCTTGAGTTCAAGAATTGTTTTTTTGCTCGCTCTTTATTCTTTTCAGTATCTAGTCTTGTAACATTTTCTTCATAGTGTACAGCGGCCAATTTAGGTGGGACATAAATATTAGATTTGTTATCTTTTGGTTTTTCACCACTATCTGACATTTCACTCGAGTCTTCATCACTGTTATCTATTTTACTCATTAAGTTTGATGGATTAGCATGGTAGGATTGTGGATCATCTTCTGAACTGGCACCAACCACTGCAGTCTTAACAAGTTTATCAATTTGATACTTCAACTTAGAATCTATGGGACGTATCTTTTCAAGTACAGTTCTTATTTCTATTAGTCTATCTATAGATGGGTCAGATTCGATTTTTTCACCAGAACATTTCCGTAATACAATGTAAGTTAAATTAATTAAATAGCCTAGCAGCATTTGATATTTCATTTCTAAAAAGCTTAAGCCTTTATCAGTAGTCATTTCGCCATCTTTAACGCGAACTAACATATTGTCCACAAGGTTAGATACTTGTTGGACATTTGTATTCATTTCTTTTAACAATTTTACTGCCTGAGGTAAGTCAGGAACTTCCATCTCGTCTGTTGCCTGTAACCAAGGATATGGTAAACGTTATACTTTTAAAAAATACCTTATTTATAGCATATAGCAATATAAAAAAATGGTAAATCCATTTATAATTAGAAATTAATATTTACCTGAACCATGATGCTTGTTTGTTTAAAGTAAATACCTAACCTTAAATTATAAAATAAAACCTGTATTGGCAGGCACGAGCGTAGGCGGAACACTAGTACTTATTTAGTTGTAATAAACATTACACAGTAAGGAACTAGGTTTAGAAAAGAAAGGAACATTAATCATTATCAATATTGTTTCATAAAATAAAAATTAATGGCTTGGCAAGCCGATAGCGTCTTGCGTGTGAACTGTGACAAATGACAATTGGCTTTGGAGTAGGGAATAGGGATGCTCGATGATCATTGATCATCGATGTTTTTTTATTATTTTTCCTTTATGGCTCTGGCACGGTTTGTGCATTAGCCAGCGTCAAGTAGGTATAAGATTTTTATAAGTCGCTGTTTTAATTATTTACAGTTTATGAATAATAAAAAACGAAGGAAACTAATCGCGACATAACATAGATGATTGAAAACGCATTAAATTTACAACAAAATCAGAATAGTTACATGAGGGGAAAAATAAATCAAAATTATAGTTTAATGTTATTATTTACAATAAATATACTTATAATACTATATACAAGGGGATTTAAATCTCGAAGAAGTAAAGAAATATTGGTAGGAAGGGGAACAGAGAGAGATACTAAAGAAGTGTATAAGGAAGAATGGTCATATTTAGGACAAGAAAAGAAAACATGATTCAGGTCAGAATAGCTCTCGCCACACTCACAGAATCATCGATGTTAAAAGCAAAAACATTGATGTTTTGACATCGATGTTGCTATACGAAAAATATCGTAAAATCTAGATGTTAACTCATGGCCTCCCGCACGACCAATGCAACTAACGAAACAAACTGTCTTCTATGAACGCATCCACAAATCAGGTTTATTAAATTTTTAAACGCGTATTCATTCCCTTCATTCGTTCTTCGTAGTCTCGCTCGCTCTTTCTCTCTTACACTTCCTCACTACTCTTTATCAACAAAGAAATATATTAAAAGATTCTTCTTCATCAAAATTACTATTCATTCAGTCAGTTGATAAAAAATATCGGAATAATATGTAATAATTTGTTCTGTTTCTTAATAAATTTCGAACCATTTCACTGTATTTTCTGTATTTGTACTGTGCTTTATTTCTTTGTCAATTATTAATGCAAAAATAATTCATAAATATCGATCATCGATGTTGGGCTTTCGATTATGACATCGAACAGCGGTCGGAACCCTTTCGAGTAGGGAATCTGTAGCCGTTTGAATGGGATGAGTCGGTCAGTTTCGTCATTTCCACTATGGGACCTATACAGGCACGCATAGAATCGCAGATGGTCATCGCAGTCTACGCGCAGCCAGAGGTAAGACGGACCGTTACTTCAAGCATCCCGTGGCGACGAGAACATATATCCTCTCTGACATACACGCAAACTCCCGCCCGCGGCACAAATGTATGTTCCAATTTGTACCCGAGGTAGGAGCCGAGAGAAGGCCGGCTTGGCAGTTAAAGTTGAGGCCCTAAACATTTGTAAAGTCCACGGCGAGTGTGGAAGGCGGTGCCTTTGAAATATGAGATTACACCTCAGAATTCTTACCGGACTTATTATTACTTAATCTGAGGGTTACACAATTCATAGACTATCTCAAGCAGTTATAGAATAAGAGATTTCAGTCGCGACCAATAAAATTCATTTGAGGTTGCTAGGAAACTGCAATTTTCTCTAGACTATTGCATGATGAAAAATGTAAAAAATAAACATGTTCTGTAATCATAACATTTATTACAATTTTGTTTCTTATTAATATTTACAACTACTATTTACTAACTATCGACTATCATTTAAGCAATGATCGCTAATAATACTTTCACACATCAAACGTATCTAACATTCGGCCCATTGGCAGAATGTAATTCAGAATTTTTACATTGGTGACGAGGCGCAATAAATATTTATTCGTCTGCGATAAAAACTAATCTTATGTTAATTATAAAACAAGTTTAATGGATCTACTGATGTAAGTTATAACATATAAACCTTTTTTTTTAAACTTCTGTTTGCTTAAAGCAACATTTAAAAAAAAACTTTAGAGTGTCAAGGGACACCCGGATGGAACGAAATTCCTTTCGATTAATTTATATGTTAATTGGTATCATAACAGTATGATAGATTTTCTCGATACCAATCTTACGACGAAAAAAAAAAGCCAACATCAGAGGTGTTCCCAGGCGGTACCCATCCAAGTACTGACCTCGCCCGACGTTGCTTAACTTCGGTGATCGGACGAGAACCGGTGTATTACAATAGCAAATAGCAAAAAGTGTCGTGACAACTTTTCGTAAGAATTTTTCCGTCTAGCCCCTTTCTCAACGCGCGATAAGGAACTTCGTTCCAACACTTCCCTAACACATAACGGCTATTTTTAAATGCGTTATAAGATATGCATAGAATAAATAGAAACTTAGGGAAAGTAGTAAATCTTTCGACTTCTCAAACATTACGATTTATTAAGATCTTATCGAATAATGCATGTTTAATGAAGTCACGAACATATGAGGCGTATAGTTGCAAAACCCCCTAAAACAACATTTTTAATAGATTGGCTTTTTTTAAATCAACGGCTAGTATTTTAAATTCTCATTGAAATAAAAAGAAAACTTCCTAGCAAATCCCACTATAACCGTACCAATTTACAAAAGCTAATTCGTGTTTAGTTGCAAAAACCGCTATAACGATATGTTTCACTTTCAAAAGGCCCTAAAATCAAAGTGACCAATCAGAGCACTTCATTCATTCATTCGCAATATGGCGATTTCTGTTGTGATTGTGGAGAATAACGTACGTTAATATTGTGTTTTTAGTAGCACGTTAAAAAAGGTATGTTAAATGGTTACTAGAAATGCACCTTTTTTTGGCTTGGGATGGTGTTATACAAGCGTGCGCAATTTAAAAATATTAAATGACTTAGAGAAAAGATAACGATATCTATAAAGATGGGTTTTTATTGTTTTTTAGGTTTTATTGTTTTTTTAAGTAAATCGAGTTTAAATTTTAACCGGACTACGAAAGTCTATGTATGTATGTTGTAATTTTCCACCCTAGCGCCTTATCGTTGAGTGGACTTAATAATTGAGGTATATTGATCCATTGGGATTCGTAATGATGGCCCGAGTGACATAGGCTACGAGTATAAAATATACGTAGTCGGGTTATAGTATTCAAAAATTTGAGGTTATGATTTGTTTCTTTCAGATACAAAGCTGCTGGTTTACCAAAATACCCTACCTGTAATCACAACCAAAAGGCATTTCAATGCAAACAACAGCTAACTATGCAGATGATTAGAAAATTTTACGAAAAAATTTACCTATGTTCCAACAAAGTTACTCAAGATAATTTTATTTTGAAATTTAGTTCAATACAGGAAGCAAAAAGGAAGAAAAATGGTAAACGAACAAAGGCAATGAAATACTACATTTTAGGAGATAAAGGTGCTAAAGTTCCAGTATGTAAGAAAACATTTAAGCTCTGTTAGTTAAGAAAGATCGTATCCAGGGTGTTTTAAAAAGATTTTATGAAAGTGGGGGTCAAATGCCCGTAGAAAATCGGGGTGGGGACAGAAATACGTATAAGTTTACTGCTAAAAAATTGTCTGTTCAGTGGTTCATAGAATCATTCAAAGGCCAAGAGAGTCAATATTGTAGATCCAAAAATATGCATAGAGTGTATCTTTCGGCAGAACTCAACATACGTAAAATGTGGCGCATATACAATGAATCACATGAACCAGACTTGCAAGTAAAACAACATTTCTTAAGAAATGTCTTTAACAAATACTACAACATCGGCTTCGGAACACCCAGAACCGATGTATGCTCAACATGTACTGAGATTGGCGAAAGATTGAAAGCAGAGAAAGATGTAGCGAATAAAAACCAATTCATTATTGAGAAACGTATTCACAGATTGAAATATAAAGCATTCTACAGAATACTTCAAGAAGCTGATGGGCTTTTGACAATATCTTTCGATTGTCAAAAGAACCAAGCACTTCCTAAATTCCCAGATCAGTCTGGTCTTCTGCTTATTACAGTAGACAGTTTAGTTTCTACCATTTTGCTATTGTAGCAGGGAACTCAAAGGCAAAATTGACACCAAGTAACGTTTATTCTTATTACTGGGACGATACAACCCATGCAAAAAGCAGTAATGAAATAATTAGTGCTTTTTACAACTTTCTGCAAAATAACAATTTGATGGACAATAAGGTATTAAGAATAATATCTGATGGGTGTTCTGGACAGAACAAGAATACCGGCATGATCTCAATGCTCGGTAAATGGCTTTACTTAGAAGCACCAAGGCAACTTAAAAGAATAGAAATAATTTACCCTATTGTTGGCCACTCGTTAATTCCCCCAGACAGGGTTTTTGCTAAAATTGAAAAGGTCATAAAAACTAAGGAAGTTATAACATGTACAGATCTGGCATCAATTCCTGTATATGACTGGAAGACTAGTTATCAGAATATTATAAAGCCTACTACTAGTTGGCATTTTGCTTTTATGAAGTGTAAACGAATATTTATTACCCGGACTAAGACTGAAAATGTATTAGTGCAAGGAGAAGTCAACTATCGGGCAGAAAACAACACAAAAATGACAATTACCAAAAAAGGGAAAAAAATAACTATGATTCAACCTGATATCATTCAACCTAATAAAATAATCCCGAATGCTGCCAAATTACACGATGTTTTGAAATTATTAAAAACGCATTTCGGTGATAATTGGGAAACCTTGGAGACATTAACTTTTTATAAAATAGTTAAAGAAAGAGCACAAGAACAACCGGAAAATATGATTGAAAGTCCTACTATGACTGACTTGTGTGAATCTGGATTTACAGAAAATAATAGTTATGTGTAATCTTTTATAACAACTATGCAGGGTATTATTACAAAGTTTATTACTCTATTTTAAGCATTTTGTTAAAAAAATATTTTTTTATACTTTGCAGTAACTACCTGTTTGTCTTGTCAAATTAATTTTAATAAAAAGTGTTAATTTCTTATGTACACACTTGTTTTTATTAAATATAATGCTTATACTAACCACTGTTACCTATCCTATAAACATGTTGCTTAATAATGCAAAGTCCCCTAAAACGTAACGAGTCAATTTCAAATCCCACTATAATGAACGATGAGTTTAAAAATCCGCTATAATCAAACTTTTTTATTTATTTTTTATGACTATATTGACGATTTTATTTTTTTCTTTAGTGTTGCCGTGCTTTCTACAGTAAAAATGTTAACAGATACAAATTGTATTCTGGAATAGTAAATAATAAAATAAAAAAAGTACTTTCTCATCTTTTTCCTAGAATCGTTTTAGAGTATTTTGCAACTATACGCCTCATATGCAAGATAGGTAATTTGTATTCAAAAAAAGAATATGCTTAATGCTAAGTAACTACCTTTATTAACAGCGCTAAAAAAAATATAAAACTTCATAGGTCTTATTGTGACAGTTGTCTAGTTGTGATTTAAAAACGCACAGGTAAAGCGAACTTTCCTGCATCGTTCTTTTTTTAATTTCGTAGTTTGAGTTAATAGATTTGACATTTGTTTTTTGTATTGTTATTCTAAAAATAAAGCAAATATACGCTGGATTTTTTAAAGTCTTGAGCTACAATGTTCGTCAATAGAGAATAGTCTCGTAACTATTGTACGGGGCAGATATTTCGTATCGTATAACCGACTCACCATTCCTAACAAAAATGTCAATCGCATTCTTATTGGAAATCTGAATTTAAACGGAACCGGAAATACCATTTGTCCATTATAATTTTTCATTTTATCGACACTAAAAGCTTACAGCATTCTCATTGCTCTCGCGTAGTTGCACCAAAAGGCAAAATGCTTTACTTGAAATAAAGTCGCACACATTTTAATTTTAGTGAATAGATAATTATAAGCTTGCCATGCTTTAAAACATTTTAAGCGTGTTTCTTGCGAAATCACGCGGGAATACTTAAATGACGTTGACGTTTAATGTGGTTCTTTCACGAAATTATCTTATTAGATAACCAAAATTTAACATTTCAAAATAAGACATCAAATTTTTGTTCTGTACCTAAAATAGGTAGATTGATTTAAAACAAAATGCTCCTTTAGTGGTTAAGTAAAATCTTCGCCTACATCCCCGGTATAACATAATTTGATATGCATTATTATAATTTATTCTAATAATTATTCAGAGAGCAGACTTTTATTTAAAACTGTGACTATTACTTTTAAGTTTTAGAAAATAACAACTACAAGTAATAAGAAATCGACATGATTATATTAATCTCTAAATTTTTAAGCTATTGCATAGATTTTATCGCGGGCTTTGAGCGCGGCGACCGAATCAAGAAATTCCGTAACGAAAAAAACCTAACACACGATGACGTAATAAAGGTGCGGCAAATACGCGTTAGAGTGGGACAGAACGCATACTGCGCATTCCCATCTCTCTGACGAGACGTTAGCGCGGTTAGACAGACTATATAGGCGTTATAGTCTGAGTCTGGTAGAGTGGTAGATTGAAATAATATCAAAGAAAAAATTTGAATTAATATCAAAGAAAAACAAATACTGCATAAATAAAAAATTAATAAATAATTATAATTGCATAAGTTGATAAAAAATGCTATGCAATAGCTTTACCGCGGCAGTCCCCGAGTGCCACACGTTTATTTTCTTTATAATTACTAAATAAAATGCTGCCAATATTGACTGAAAAGATCATCTCTGCTCATTAATTTGTGTTTACTCTACTAAATAAGTAGTCATAACTGCAAACTAACTTATGTTTAAGCATATGCATACCAATATTAGTTATAAACATCGTAACCAAATTCAGTTCATAATTTAACTTAACTAAAACATGTATTGAATTGCGCATTCGATACCATCTAATAAAAATAACTTGTTTTATTATCTGTTTTAAAGAGATATAGTTACATTAATTTTTTTAAAGTAATCAAATTTTGAGGGCTCTCAGTTCTTTCGAACTTTTTGTTTTCTTTCATATTATATCTGTGTTATTATTCGGCTAAATAGTAGTACAGTAATTGTCAATAAAATATTGCTTAAAAAGTTAGAGAATCTTCAAACAGTAGGTTTCAGAGCCGTGACATAATGGTACGCTATAAACTCCCGTATGTCAAAACGTATTGGTTTTGTATTCTGTGCTATCCATTTGAAATATATTATAAGTACCTACTAATATCGTAAGTGCGATGTCGCATAAATTTTTTAACAGCCAATATGTTTTTGGAATACGGAGTTATTTCTAAATCATTCTCATGCATACACTACTGACTAACATCGCTTTATTTTCGGTTATCTAATTGGGCGTATTCGTAGAAGTGATCATTACATTAAATTATTGATCATATCGTTAAATCGTTTACTTTATAAATTATTCGCCGTTAGAGGCGCTGTTTTGGTATGAGTCTCTCGACGTCAATGTTTTGTATTTTTACTTACGGTATTGGGTTCTAAATACCATCCATAGACAACGTAACCAAGCTCTCGACTTAAAATGTCACAACCGAATTAGCCAACAAACAAATAATAATAATACATAATAAAAAAAATTATGAAGACGTTTGATGGAAAGTCTTATATCGTATCGTGCCTTTTAACGATAACTAATGTTTGGCCTAATAATTGGATGTGGAGCTGGTTGACATATCGTTCAACAAAATTCAACCATTCCATGAAATAATCAATTCTACGATCCGACCACGACATATTTGCAAAATTACTACAATCCTTATTTACTCTATTTCATAATCTGTGCTTTAATAATATCGTCTGTGGGGGATTCTATCAAGGCCTTATGGTAATTCCACAGAGCAAATGTAAAGGCGCGATAATTTTTCTAATTTAAAGCGTTTTTACCCGATTTTAATCGATTTTAACAGCTCCATATATCTTCCTAATAAACGTGTATGCGGCGAAGAATCCAATGGTTCCAGTTAGCAGCCAAAAAGTCAACACCATCAGTGCTGAAAATAACGATAAAAATGTTTTACAACAATATACACAATCTTGGATAAAATTAATGCAGCCAAATATTTTCATACAAGGAAATTTAAGAAATAATATAGGCAAGAATTTTGTACTGTAACTAAATTTCCAACTTTTAAATCAACTTCTCACTCTGGGAATGCTAACTATAAACTATACTTCATTAGAGGGTTGGTCTTCATACTTCAAGTAAATCGTTACAAAAGCATTAGCCCAGATGTATCATGTCACAGCATTCATATTTAAGTTATTTCTGCTGAGTTTCATCACGTATTATCTTAAAAAATGACTAATGACTTATCGGGTAGAATTATTTTCAAAGTCGAACGAAAGCAATAATAATATATAAAATTTTCAAATTTAGAATAGTTATCGTGTTTTCCACATTTAACGCCTTTAGTACACCTGTTCGGCGGCGCTTTGCGAAATAATTGGGTAGCGAATATCTGCGGAACGTAGTACACTGCAGTTTTTTCGCAAGGAAATGTATTGAGCTTTATTTCTTACCACTATCCCCGTTTTCTTGAATTTTCCTCCATGCCACCCTTTTGTAATTAAAATGCCCAACAAATATAATTCGGGATAATTTCGAATCAAATTTAAAAAATAAATTTTCGGCTTCCATTGTGCGAAATTCTGTCCTCACTACAGAACGCGTGGTGACGATTGCGATGCGAACTCGCTAGCGAAACGGCTGCGTCTGTTAACAGCCATTTCGCAGTTACTTGCGGAAACAATACCGACAAGGACGCAACTATTTCACCTAGCTATATAATAGAGCGAGACAAAAACATGCGAAACGTTGCCATACAACTTACAGTTTTTCGTTTTCGCTGCCATGCGATTGGTAGGGACTAAAGGCGTAACACATGCAAATTTAATACAAATGGTCAGTACATAGTTATAGCAATTCCATATTTAAATATGGAATACCAATAGCGTCATTCTAATCCAAAACTGATACAAAAACCAAATCGAAGATTTTTTTCTTTAACAAATCTTACGATGTGTGATGAATAAAAACCACATTAAATTCTCTTTTCTATAAAAAAAGTTTCTATTTAATTTGTATAACAAAACTTGTAGCATTTTTAAGAAACTTTTAGGCCACTTCGACATTTTGAAGCGATTCACTTGCTTATAATAAAGATAAATCCTTATTCCTGAATTTAATTAACTATACTCAGATTTTTCATTCCGTAGAATTCTGACATTTCATAAGTGTTGCTACTAAAAAAGTTCTCCACCAAAAAAGGGACAAATTTGACCCATTTGAGGGAATAAAAAATAAAATGCTACGTATTTTTAATGTTTTACCTACAAAAAGGTAAATCTAAATATTTCTTTACTCAAGTGACCTAATACAAAAATAACAAATATTTCAATATCACGAACAATATATCGAATTAACTTTAATTACTTTATTTTATTATTTAGCTGGCATCACTGTTTGTGATGAAAAGGGACGTAATTATCACTCGCCGTAAAACCACTTTTAAGGTGGAGCACCGCACTTAATAAAAATGAAAAATATGTATAGACTGAGATGTTCAGACTCGTATTGAAAATTGAAAAATGTGCCCGACAAAAAGGTTTGTAACCTCTAACATGTCAAAAAATTATTGCTCTCAGAATTCTACGGAATTAAAAATCAGAGTATAGAATAAAAAATGTGTGGCACTCGTTTTTCTTTTTTTTTTTTTTTTTTTTTTTTTTTTTTTTTTTTTTTTTTTTTTTTTTTTTTTTTTTTTTTTTTTTTTTTTTTTTTCCCCCCCTCCCCTTTTTTTTTTCCCTTTTTTTTTTTTTTTTTTTTTTTTTTTTTTTCCCCCCCCGGGGAAAAAAAAAAAATAAATAAAAAAAAAGGGGGGGGGGGGGTTTTTTTTTTTTTTGGAGAAGAAGGGGGGGGGGGGGGATTTGGATAGAAAGAGGAACCCCCCTGTTTTTGTTTTTTTCCCCCCCCCAAAAAAAAAAAAAAAAAAAAAAAAAAAAAAAAAAAGAATAATAGCGGGGAGCCCGGTGTTTTTTTTTTTTTTTTTTTTTTTTTAAACCAAAAAAAAAAAAAAACAAAAAACAAACACCCAAAAAAAAAAAAAACCCCAGAAAGTGCCCGGGGACTGCCGCGGTAAAGCTATTGCATAGCATTTTTTATCAACTTATGCAATTATAATTATTTATTTTTTTTATTTATGCAGTATTTTTATTCTTTGATATTAATTCCATAATCTACCACCTTACCAGACTCAGACTAACACGCCTATATAGTTTGTCTCACTCTAACGCGTACTGGCTGCACCCGATGTGAGACGTCACGTTACGTCATCGTGTGTAAGGTTATTTTCGTTACGGAATTTCTGGATTCGGTCTCCACGCTCAAGGCCTTGGGATAGAAGCTTGCAATAGCTTAAAAACATTAGAACATAAATATTTAAGGGGGGGGGTGGTTTTTTTTTTTTTTTTTTTTTGGGGGGGGGGGGGGGGGGGGGGGGGGGGGGGGTTTTTTTTTTTTTTATTTTTTTTTCCCGTTTTGGGGTTTTCGGGGGGGGGGGGGGGGGGGGGGGGAAAAGGGGGGTGGGGTTTAAAAGGGTGGAAATTTAAAAAAAAAAAAAACATAACCCGGTCCCTGTATATCCAAATTAAAAAAAGGTTAAATGGTACTCCTCCCACACTCTATGTCGTAATTTCTAACTTCTAAAAAGTTCAAGAGACTAAAATGTATTTATAAAAGAATATAGACAGCAGAACACTCCTGATAGCTCTAAAACTTTTCCACCACCAGTGAAATCAGAACACAATATAAATTAGATTTTAATTGCATACTTTTGGACGTTGACCTGTGCTATATTTTCACATATGTTATCGTTTAACCCGAAATATTTGTTACGTCAAAATCAAATCAAAGACCAGGTGATATGCACAGATGCGACAAAATACATAACATTTATTTGGCTAACAATGTTACTTTGCATAACATTATTTTTATCATGTTTTATTTTGCAAAGTTGAAAAAAATACTGCCCACTAAGATTTGTGACTTTTTCACAAAACCGTCTTAACCAATTTTGATGAATATTGTTACATTTATATCTGTTATTCCCTATTTTTTTTTTTAGCTTTTTTTTTAGACTTTACAGACGTCGAGATTTAAGACATATGCGCGATCAACTAAATAAATGAGGAAGTAGGAACTTACCTCTCCACAGAGCTGAAAATACACCATCACAATGGATATCTGCGACACAGACACAACCAGTATACAGAATACCAGAAACAGGAACCCAAACAGATAATAGAATTGATTTTCCCATAGAGCACTAAAGATGAAGAATAGCTCTATGAATACTGCCCCAAATGGAAGGATTCCAGCCATGAGGGTACTAAAAAAATATTAGTATTAGCTTACGCGGCATGTACTTTAAAAGTGCCTAATATAGAGGATGTCGCAAACATTTTAAATTTTTATTAATTTTATCACCGGGAAACTTGAAACCATAACCTTCAATTTATAGGCACAATGTGTTGTTAAGACAGAGGCAAAGCTTCAGAATAACTATACAAATTTACTAACAAAGATAGAAACAATTTATTTAAAATATAATTATTGCCTTACCATATTAGTACATTCATATACCAAACTTGCTCTGGCACTTTCCTCGGTATGAAATTAGTTCTCACAGGATGCTGAAATGGTTGCTTCCGGATCCCAAAATAATAACCCAAATACACCAATGGTAAAGATATACAAAACCAAAGGCATAATAAGGCCATCATAGTAGAGAACGGGACAGCTCCGCTGGAATGTTTTCCCATAATAAAGAAATTCAGGAAGAAACATTTTCCGAACACAATGGCCGGGTATAAAGTTGCTGTTAAAAAAGCTGCCTGCTTCCATTGCTTCCCTCGCATAGTGTTGTATAAACGGGCTGAATAGTAGCCTGCTATTAATCCCATAAATACATAGAGAAATATTGCTGCGGTCATCAATGCACCACGACTGGCTGGTGAGAGCATACCCAGCATCGCAATGACTGGAAAGAAGATATCAAGATTGTTATATGAGTAAACCTATACTTCCAAAAGCGATTAGATATTAACCTCTTGTATCAAGTTGGCAATTGTCAATTAATGTCATTAGGATTTATTTTTTATTAACTATGTCGTTATTAATTAAAATCGATATTTGTATTGTGACATATAAACAAAACAGTGGCGCCAAGTTTAGGTCTTGCCTGTATCTGTTTTCGTAATATTTTTGATTGATTTATTGTTTCAACAAATTGAATATATGTATAGTGTATGTAACAGTTAATATTTAGTAAAACATCACTGAAGATGCCACTGAAAATCTGTGTACAGCTGTAATTGGACGAATTTTGGTTTACGAATGTTGTTTAGTTTGTAGTAACTTTATGTATTCACCTAATCTGTTGTCTGTTTCTACATGTAAAAATAAAAATAACAATAGACAAGATCAGCCGTCTGTGCCTGATGGTCTCCTCATAATGCTTTCCTTCGCCGTACGAGCGAGTATTAATTGTGGGTCATAGCTCATAGGAAGTTCCATTGGTGCACTGCTGTGATTCGTGAGGAGCACGCGAGGCCAACAATACTCCGCTTTCATATGAACCAATCATTTATATTGTATAATATACAAAATTGCGACGTGCGAAAAATCAGTTTTGGGTCAATACTTTACTATTACTAATTGAAATTCAGGAAACCAGATATCAGAAATTAAGACATTAAAGTAATAATAATATATGAACGTCATAATATTGTTTTTCATGTAATATATTTATATGTAATAGAAGTTTTAAATTTATTACTCACAAAAATATTTTACATATATTATATATATAACTCAGTCATGGGCAAATTGCGCTCATTCGCCGAAACACGATTTTGATTAACTGAATCTCAGTCACAGTTTCATTGTCTCATACCTTCATCTCTTCTAAAGATTAATCATTTTTTCTGACTTGTTTGGAAGTTTTACCATTTTAGTATATAAGTTGTGTATGATGTTAAATTAAACAATAAAAAGGTTTAGGCCTATAAGGGGCGTCCATAAATTACGTGAGGTGTTTTTAAATTTTCTGGACCTCCCTCCCCTGGTGAGATGTCATGAGATTTTATTCAACCCCTCCCCATCCCCCCAATCTCACGTGAGATTTTTCAAAATGTGGGTTTCTTACGTAAACGCATTGGATGTTATTGAAAAAGAAAAAAAATGCTTGTGCTTTTATTTACGACTAAAACAAAATAAGTGAAATGTTGAGCGTTTAGGATGGAGTTAGGGGAAGTTGCAGATATGTCTTAGAGTCAACCGTTTTCCTAATTTTTTTAAATCAGAAAAAAATTGCGTTTGTCGAGACCCCCTCTCTCCACACCGTAAGATTAAATGAGGTTTGATTTTGACTCTGACCCCCCCCCCCCTTAAATACCTCACGTAATTTATGGACCCCCTAACTTGTATTTTTTTGGCCGCCTGTAAATTTTAAATTTCATCTGGCCCTCCTTTTAAAAAGTTTGCCCATATGATATAACTAGAAATTTCATTCCGAAACCGATTTAACAAAATTAGAATATTTTTAGTCTCATTTTTATCAGTATTAATTCGCTTTATTAACTCGTTATTGATAAATTTTGTACTATAAAAGCGAAATAAGTTTAAACGATTAAATTTACGCGCGAGGCGCTTATGCGAATTATAATTCTTATGTTACACGTCACTGTCTTTAACGAATGTATATAAAATTTAAAAAAAAATTTAAAACGACAAAAAATGTTAGCATTGCAGCAACCTAAAATCCCACGACAGTTCTTTTTCCGCACATACTAATACTCTATAATAAGAAAATATATGTCTCCTTATACTTACATATTGTAATCAAAGCCATAAGGAATACTTGTATACCATTCCCAATTACAGCAGCAAATAACATTCTTTTCGGTGGAGGTCTAAACACATCACCATAAATCAATTTCCATCCCGTCTCTTCTATAAGATCCTCTATATTTTCATCTGAATTGTACTTTGCTATATCTCTCCTTAGTGTACGAACCATTATCATTGTTAGGATTCCTAAGAAATAAAAATACATATCAATATTGCCATAACAATTAAATTATTTACAACAAAATAAGAGTCAATTCTTCTAATCAACAAAAATATTATAAAACTGAGGGTTTGTTTCCTTGATTGATCGGAATAATCTTCGTAGCTATGGTATAACTTTTACTGCAACGCAAGGTGCAGCTTGGGGTTAATATACTTATCACCTGTTTGTTTAGTAATTATTAAAGATATTTACCTGATAAAAAGAACAATACCACAATAGAATTGATAATAGAGAACCAATGTATTTGCACATCTTTCATCCCTAAATAAATATCCCAGCGTGAGGCCCACTGTATATCTGATTCTCCCCATTCCACAGAGTATGTAAAATACAATTTCGTCCCAGTATCCTCATTAACTAACTGTGGCTTTGGTTCCAATGGAAATTGGCATGAGTCCTCTAAGAAAATTAAATCATCTTTGGAAACAGAATGTGTTTCAACTTCAAAACCAACTACCCTGTATGAATCTCTGAAAAGATAGAAGATAGAAAAAAAATCCTTGTGTCACGATTCTACAGTATATACAAAAACTGTATAAAAAAAAAACTGTTTCCCCATAGCATCTTTGAACATTAGAAATCCTGCATTTATTTACAAAGAAAAATAAATGAGATACAAAGATTAGTAGCATACACTACACTTGTTTCCTACCCAGAAATGGTAGAACAAATTTTAATAGAAATAGATAACAAAATATTGCAACATAAAGTCAAATTTATGTGGTAATTAGCTTACAAACCATAATTAAGAGTAAATAATGTAAGCAATCATTAAAGATACTTACTGACTATGCTTGTGATACTTAAGTAGTAATTTTAAATGATTGTTAATAAAAGCTTTCCCTTTCGACATAAATCCAAGCCTATAACCCTGTTCAATAGACTTTTCTGATGTTTCTCGATTTATAATTCTTGTAGCAACTGGTAAATTATCAACTAGCCTAAAATAAAATAAATAGGATTAGCACAGAACTTAAGTAGAATTATGGGAATTGTAACTTGAAGTTAGGCAGTAAGTTATCAATTTGTACAATTTATAATCACTATTATTTCACCTGTTATTCAGACTACCTACAAATTCAAGTCATAGTTTATTATGATAACAATATAAATAATATTAGTAACTTACAAATGTACAAAATATTCATGCTCAATACGACTAGCAACTGTTTCAGATTCTTCAACATTCCAGTTCATTGGGTCATTTTTTTTGTGACATAATAGTCTACATTTGATATTCTCTGCCATATGTATTTCATAATTTGTGCTAACAATGCGATCACCTCTCAATACTTCCCCTAAGTTTTCAGATTTGTATATAATTGTTCCATTTTTTGGTCGGCACAGGGGTAGGGAATAATATTCGTAGGGAAGTTGTGTGTGGATACTAGTCATTTTAACAGCTTTAACGTCAATTTTCTGACCTTTTTTATATTCCACTGGTGCAACACCCGGTACATAAAATCCATGATTAAATGCAAAATTAAACACCAATAAAAAAATCTGAAAAATCACCTAAAAAATGAATAGCTTATTATAGGTATATGATAATCTTTAAGTTAAAAAGTTAATACTAAATAAATATCTTACGTGATAATTATGCATTTTATGAATTGAGTCTGGAAGTTATCTTCAAATTATTTGTAAAGTGTTTCTATCTATTTTCATTATTAAATATATAAAAAATATGATTAATATTGAATAGAACTTAACAAAAAGAGTACTTAAAACAACCATGTAAATAAAATGTAAATAATTTTCCGAATTTGAAAAAACTTATAAATTATTTTCAAAATTGAAATCGATTGTCTATTGTCATTTGCCGATTCACGAATGTCATTTTACGAAATAATCGTTCGTATGTTCGTCATTAAACATAGATATGCGATATTAGGCTGTATAGTTGTCTGTACAATAATGTTTTTATCTAAAATACTTTTTCTAGGACTACTACTCTGGGACTGTCTGGGATGTCAACCTCAGCCTTGAATTCTTAAAAGAGTAATTTAAAACCAGGTATTTTTTTGCTTCAAACATTGAACTAAAACTCAAAATATCTTTATTCATATAGGTAATGTCAAAAAAGAAGTTAAATGAATTGTAAATTTACATTTACTACCAGTTCGCAAGTCAAGGGCGTAGAGCGGGTAAGAACTGGCAAGAAACTTTCCGCCCTTCGAGACTTCGAGTTCATTTGATAAGCAGCTAATTTATAATATATGAACGGTACTGGAATTTCGTTAAAATAGATAACTCTGATAATATTACTACGAGTAATAAAAAACAGAGATGCTTATTGAGTAGGGCTGAGAGCCTGTGGGATGCTGACAGTTAAAGTTAGAACTTTGAGTTTGGTGAATCATAGCTGCTGTCAAAATAAGAGGTGTTTATCTACAAAAATGACCGGGAATTGATTGTCATTTAGAATAAAAAATATTAAATATTTATTTTTACAAATTATATTATACTTCTTATTAGTTTTTCAAATTCAATATTTATAAAATGGCAACCAAAGTAGCTATAGTCACAGGAGGGAATAGAGGTTTAGGTTTTCAAATCGTAAAGGGTTTATGCCAAAAATTTGATGGTGCTGTGTATCTCACATCTAGAAGCGAAGAAAGGGGCCAAAAAGCCGTCCAAGACCTAGAAGACTTAGGACTACACCCACGATTTCATGTACTTGACGTCACAAGCGAAGAAAGTGTAGAAAACTTTGCATCCTTTATTAAAGCCAACCACAATGGCATCGATGTTTTGGTGAACAACGCGGGAGTTCTAGATTTCGACAAATCAGTTTCCTCATATGAAGAAGCGAAAAAACTCCTTGATACGAATTTTTATAGTCTTCTGAAAATTTCTCAACATTTACACCCCATATTAACAAATACTGCTAGAGTTGTCAATATCAGCAGCGATTGGGGTTTGCTATCAAACATAAGAAAACAGATTTGGCTGGATACATTAATAAAAGATAATTTAACTGTTGATGAGATTTTACAATTTGTAAGTGATTTTCTGCAAGCAGCTAAAAATGGAAGGAATGCATTCTTTTCTTTTGCGGGTCATTATGGTGATTATAAAGTTTCCAAGGTAGCTCTATCTGCTCTAACATTTGTTCAACAGAGAGAATACATCAAACAGGGTAAAGACATATCTGTAAACTGTGTCCATCCTGGTTTTGTGAAGACAGATATGACAAAAGGAATGGGTGATTTTACCCCTGAACGTGGTGCTAGAGCTCCTTTGTACTTGGCATTGGAGGCTCCCCAAACTCTTAAAGGTACCTTTTTGTGGCATGATTGCCATAAAGTAAACTGGGATGATTGAAGAAATGTTAATTGTTGTTATGTTCATTCCTGTGATAATAATAATTAGTGTCACAACACTTTAAACTTAATAATATATGTTTTTTGGTTATAACTTTCTCTTTTTTCTTAAAAAACCTTGATTTTATTGCAGTCTAATAGATTGTTTTGATGTATACTAATTTCAGTACATAATATAATTTTTTCAGTTAAGAGGATTTTAGTGTGTGCACAATATTCAACATTTTCATAAAGATATAAAATGTTACTAAACTACTGAGTATAATACCAAATTTAATCATCAATCATTTAATAAATTTAATCTTGTAATGTCTTGTACATACAGGTTATAACTCAGTCCTGACTGATTCTCTGACAGAGAGACATTATAAGATTCAATTGAGAGCAAAACAATATTTGTTTTGGGATTTAAAGCACTAGTTTGATCACTTACCCACACAGTACATCATACCATTTGAAAATGTAAATAACACACAACACATTTAACAAAATGGTGCAACCATCTATGAATTGTTCATTAATACAATATTCATTTAAATCTTATTAAACAATAAAAAATAACTTTAAGTCAGTTGTGCATGCTGTTCTACAGGTGTCTAAGTTCATTATCACAAACTTCCTTTAGTTACAAGAGCTCCCGAAAAGAACAAACAGTCTAAGTTTTAAAGTTTGTGGCTAGTGATTTTATCATCACTAATAGAAGGCCCAAACAATTGAATGTCTAAAGAAAAAAAAAAGGTGGCGTCTGATCCTAGGGGACAAGACACCACCAAAATCATTCTAAAACCTTGCTTAGTGGGTTTAATACACAAAAAGCTAAATATTTTCAAATAAGCATGAATTTAAAAAGAACTGGTAAAAAACTAAGAACAGAATGATAATATCGTATAACCTTCGTCTAGAACAGTGATTCCCAACATGGAGATAACACCCCACTGGGGGTAATTTGTTTGTTAAGGGGGGCAATCGAAATCGCCTGGATATAACACGACGTGGAGACTTGAGACTGAAGCTAACTAAATTGAAACCTAATATAAATAATCTGTGCAGAAAGGATCAAGCGCAAGGATCTAACTTAACTTAAATAATAATTTAATATAGAAAAATCTTATCTTATCACTCTTATTATTTGGAATTTGAATTTCAGTTTTTCATTATATGTTTTGAAAATTTACTTACTGTGTTTCGTTAACAATTTCCTAGTGACTTCTTCCTAAAAACCTATCGTTTAAATTTCTTAAGTGAATTTTTAATTTAAAAAATATTATGTATGCTTCATAGCGCGAGTATAAAAAATTCAGAAAGGCTAAGGTTAGTTATGGCTCAAAAAGGATGGGAAACACTGGTCTTGACTCTAAAGTACTACTAGTGAGAAAATGGTCAAGTGCTGACCAGCGGAAGCTTTATTTTTCTTTAATCAGCTAAGCATGGTTCTTATAGAGCGGGGTTTCTTCAGCCACACGTACCTACCTGTTTCTTCGGTCAACAAGTGTAGAAGACGCCCTCTATATCGAGTATTGTCACAATTAGTATTGTATGCATTAAGCTGAGACTTCCTCGACTTACGTTGTTTCGATTTACGTCGTTTCAAGTTTCGAACAATGTCTCATTACATATTTTGATTAGGTACATATTATAGTTTTATAATTATTATTAAAATTAATAACACATAAATACCAAAAATAACTAGCAATTTCATAAGTGCATAAATAATTATTTTAAGAACTTACTTTTGATAATAAAGTATGTATGTATATCCTTTGTTATAAATGCAGTTTTTTTTTTAAATTTCGAGTCCGTGTGGAACCTAACCCTTGAGTTTTACATGTAAACATACGACTCTCGACTTACGTCGCGTATTTCGAGAACCTAACATGTCGTAAGTACGAGGACTGCCTGTATTAATTTTTCGATTGGATTTTATACATATATATACCGAGTATTAATAAGCCGTTTTTTCAGTACTGCTGCATATGCCACCTTCTTCTTCTTCTGCTCAGAGCATTTGTTTTACACAGACGTCAAATGACTTGTGAACTCATTCGTGACCACGAAAGTCATTTTTGTCTAATCTTTATCTTCGAGGATAAATTGAGTGATCTACAGAGCCATACCTAGCGATATATAGGGCGATATGTAGGGATAATACGTAATTAAATCAATCTTATTAAGAATTTGTATTGCATGTGCATCCGTTATAAGGATTCTATTGTTCCTTACATACATAATTCTATTAAGAAATCGTAATGGTGGCTCGCGTAAGGGGTGGTGCAAACAGCTTATCGCCTTACACATGCAACAATAGAAGCCCTTATATGGCTGTATAGGCGTTTCATTTATACGAAGCCAATTTACTTGTATGTTAACGGGTTAAGCAGGGCTTACTTACAATTATTATTTAACCAGTTTAGGAACTCCTTAAAACAATCTCACTCACTCCGTTGGCTCTGCGGCGCAAAAAGTGTCTAAAACAGAATTAGGTTGAGAAAATTTCATTGGTCCTAACAAAATTGTCTCAAAGCCTCACCCTTCAAAAATTTTGTAACTAACAATTGCTAGTGCAGCGGCTTAGAGGCTTCCGAAACAACAGAAAGCGATTTTGGCTGTCTTTCCAGTGACTATTATACCTACTTTACATTAATTTAACTTCAAGATAGGAAAAAGTAGTGAGAAATTTATTTAATAAAATATAGAATTATATAATATTGCTAACACATGACTGTATTCATCTTAGTGAACTCCGAAATCAGATTTTAAAATGAAGATTGTTTAAGTTTTGGTACTTGTCTTTTGTTTTTGTAGTCACTTATTTTTGTAATTCATTTTTTTTCAATATTTCTTATAGTTAAACGTTTAAATTTATATTGAACAATTCAGGGATTTCTTATTCCAAATTTTATGCTTTAGGTAGGAAGTAAAACATAAAAGTCATTTTATTTTATGAAATATTTTATTAAAACGTTTCTTAAAGGTAGTTTTTACACTTAAGGTCGCTTAACTCTATTTGACTTTTAATATAGCTATCACCGTGTTTGAAAAGGCAAGAATTACCTAAATACGTAATAAAGACAATATCTAATGTGCTTATATACAGATTTGTTTAATAATTTCGCTTATAAACTACACAAATAATTTTACAGGCTGGAAACATTTACCAAGTCAAAAGTAAAATAAGCGATCATCTTATTTTGCCGCTAATTAAGCGATACTAAGAGGACAAGCCCAATTAGTGTAGATCGACATAAAACCAATTGGAAGATAAGAAAAGCCCTTCCACTATACTGTCCTGTTCGGGCATTTCGTAGATTCTATTTGTGCCCACTATTCTTTAGAGATATAATTATTATTAATCAACCATCAACGGTATGGGACATCTCTAAGTACCTACGGTTTGAACAACTCCATGGGGCTATTTGCAGCTAAGCCGAATCATTTGACACCTCAATGGACCAACAGAAAACTCAAATGTTTAATTGAAAACGCATTGAACAGCTAAGTACGTAATAATTTGTTGATAAAGGGAATCTTAAAGGTGTGAGTAGTCTTTCTGTACAGATATTGTAATGTTTTTATTCGTCTTATCGGTTTCACCGAGTATTTCTAATTTGTCCTGGACATAATTTACAAAGTAAAATTACGACTCAAGGTTCAATATAGTAATTAGAGTTTATTTTAAATAAATTATCAAAACATCCATGATAGGTAGGTACATTTAAAATTTGATTTTGGTAAGATGTTAAGTATGTTATTATCATTACGCTGGCTTAACCTAGATGGTTTATCTATTAATAACTAGAAAAAGTAGCTACACTCTTTGGTGTTCTAGCCGTAATGTACACAATTTTTTTACGGATCTTGTCACATATATTGGTTGTACCTACCTATTGAATAGGCCTCGGGCGGTGTTATACACTACTTAAAAATTGAATTACATATCTACGATCTATCAAAATTAATTTATACATGAAAAAATTCTGTTAATGCCTGAACATTTATCTTTCAAGCTGGTAACAATTTACATAAAACGGTAACACACGGTAGCTTTTTCGATTTCAAAGGTAATAAATTCGTGGTAATTTTCGTTACTACACAATAATATCAATGCTTAAATTTAGGATCTAAAATTGATCTCTGAATTTCCTAACCTACAGAAGAAAGAATAAATAAATGGTACATTTGAAACTTAAAAGGATAAAGTTGATTTTTTATAAATAAAGCGTTTTACACTTGACTACAAGACACTTTACTTTGGTTTTAAGACTCTATTTTTACATTTTAAATACATTCTTATAACTAAGGATTGCCTTAATAAATCATTTCGTGATTTTATACAAAACAAATGAACTTACAGTATTGTGCCGAATATAAACTGAATAATGGTTACTGAAACTTTTGTTAACATGATAGAGATTGGTACATTTAAAATATTGGCTAGAGTACGTTATACGTTTTTAATACATAACAAATTTATATAAATATTGAGCCTACAGTGTAGGTCCTTACAATAAAATGGCCGGTTATTTTATCATTGGACGGACAATAATGTTATATGAAATAAGAAATGATATTCATAAGCTCATTGTAAATTTTCACTCATTTCTATAGACAAAACAAAAATCACGCGTGTATTTGTAACAAATTGTTACTAACTCTACGAATGGTACTTATTGTACATAAATGCGTTAATGGCATAAAGATATTAAATCTTTGGCAACTTGCTGTAATAATTAGTACACCTCAATTGGTTGCAAGGGGCGATACAGCGGTTTCATCATAATATCGGTACCGATTGGATGATAAATTTGTGATAGGTTCTATGGCATCCGAATGCTGGGAGTCCCTGTGTCTACGAAGGTCCACCTTTCGCTGGAACGCCTTATCACAGAGACCACATGAGAAAGGCTTGTACCCGGTGTGTTTTCGCATGTGTGTGATTAGGTTCGAACTCTGGCTGAATGCTTTTGAGCAAACCACGCATTTGTGGGGCTTTTCGCCTGCAACAAGAAAGAAAGATAAAGCTAAAACCACAAGTATCTTAACTCGTAACTTAATTTCTAAATTATTTTTTGTGTTTGTCTAAATTATCTACTTATAAAATAAATAAATAAATAATATCTTAAATATAGTCTTCTAAATTAGATCAAGGATTATTGATGAACTTTACTTCGGATTTATTTTATTATTTTAGAGGTGTAAAATCCATCATTATTCATCGCTGAATTCTTGAATGTTGATTTGGGTATATTTTATTGAAACCTGATGTCAATGCAAAAACAGAAGTTGTTTTATAGATAGAACAGGATTTAAATTGTCTTTTTGTTTGTGGTGTGATCGCACGTGAAGGTCTGCGAAGGCTGAGCAGCTAATTGCAGGCCAGGCCGCATTTTGGAATATTGATGACAAGGTATTTATCGGACGGACCAGTACCTTGTATGGCAACTGTAAATCATTCGGAACTATGCGCAGACGTGACGAGATGTCTCAGCCAAGACAAATATGTCGAAGCTGTTTTTTTGGATAGTTAATTCATATTGTTGAGGTTTCTTGAAGTTAAATCTACAATAACGTGTTTATTGGACGTATGTGTGTTGCATCTTGATATAGGCATTTAGCGAAATTTTGTTTTTTTCCTAGGTGTTATAACTGACATACTACTGTGTGTAAACGATTTATTATTTCCGCTTCTTGTTTTATTTCGGTCACATAAATATTAATATAAAGTTAAAAAACTAATTCATAATCAAAATATTAACGCAAATATCAATTGTATAAAACGGTAATATATAAGTATTACTATACTTACTTTTTCATGAATCAACACCGGAAGCATGAAGTTTTATTGTGACCTCATCGTGAAATGACTTGGTTGTACAAACTACTTTTTACTCGTATGAAATTTACGCCGCGCCCGACAGCGATTTGCCTTTCAAGCTTTAATTAAAATCAATAATGAAATATCGATTTGTTTAAAGTTTTATACTGACTGAATATAGATACGGGTTGAGCTTGAGCTTTGGAAAGTAGGAAGCTTGGATGTGGGATATCACTAAGCAATATCGCAATATTAGTTTTTATCGACTTTTTATAAAGCGAAGATTATTGGTGTTTACCAAGAGCTTTGTTATTCATTAACTGACGTATTTTATGGCTTATATGGTAAGTATGTCGGGTTTAATGATTTTACAAGTGACCCAAAAGTAATAAGAACTTACATTCTTACTTTTATCGATTAAAACGTTACTATCGAAAAACCATATTCAATATCGATTTTATGCTGAGAAATACAAAGTTTTAGTATAATCGTCCACTTGAATATTGAATTATTAGTAACAGTCTATTAAACATAGTTGTATAAGTGAATCTTTTAGTCGTAAAAGAAGTTTCAAACAAATTAAGTGTGAATTACAAGTATTAATTTTACGAAACTTTCTCACATAAAAGACAGTAGTATCGAATAAGGGGTTTTTATTTAATGAGGGATTTTCCAATTTTGTTAAAGAAAACTACATTTCTTTACCGGACTAACCTAAAGTTGGTAATAATAAAATTGGTATAAGTACTAAACATTTAATATTCCGCAGTTGCCTTAATTATATCTTAGGTATTAAGATCTAAATTTGTCTAGTTGTTTCGGTTCAAAGATACCTTATTTCTCAAAGAATAAAATTCGCTTAGTGCGAATTTTAGATTAATGAAATTAAGGGCAACTCTCATCTCTGGGGTCGAAGGGTCGAGTCCCGGCTGTGCAATAATAGATTTCTATCAATGTGCCCATTTAAAACTCGCTTTCATGGCATCGAAATCGGTATGCCTTAGTCCCAAAAAGTCGACGGTGTGTGTCAGGTACAGAGGTTGGTCACCTACTTGCCTATTAGAATTGATCACGGAACAGATACAGAAATCTGGAGCTCCCAGTACAGTAGGTTGTCGCCTTTGGTACATATATTAAAATCTAAGTACACATGTTAAAATCTTACCTGTATGAATGTATGTATGTTTCTTCATATCCGATTTCTGATGGAAGCGTTTCCCGCAGTACTGACAAGGGTACGGCCTTGTGTCAGAGTGGATGAGGAGATGCGTTGATAGTGTGCTGCTCCGTTTAAAGCATTTGCCGCATTGTTTGCACTAAAAAAGGTAATTAATATGTATAGAAAGGACGGCACGGACGAAATAATAGTAAAAGATGTCTCCTATTTTTTCTGGATCTACATGTATAAGGAACGCTACATATATTTTTATACCTCAAATAAAGTCCAAACGGAGCGGAGTAGAATCGATTCGTATTCAATAGTTTGAATTTTTAATTACAAAAAGATTTAAGTACAATTGTAATCAAATATAAAAGAATATTGAAAATAAAATCAAATTTATTCATATAGGTAACACAATGTACACTTATGAACGTAAAAATATAAATATATATTAAATGCTTCTAATTTTACATTTACTGGCAATAAACTCTCCGCCACTCTTTTTAATCGCCAAGATTTTTGTTTTACACAACGTTTGTAAGGAGCTGCAACCATTACACCATGTTCCAAATGACATCTTAAGTAGTTAATAGTTATTGACCTATGACAAATATTGCATAAGTAATTAATTATTATAATTATATAATACTAGAAGTACCTATCGGTAACAAGAGATTTAAATATTTAAGACAATTAATTCTTTACAATTCCAAATGTAGTTTAAAGTTCCGTTATATGAGACTTATTTAGACTTAAGTTTCGATTTCAGCGTTCGAACACTGACAGCTAGTAATAAAAATAATTACAGGGCAGAGTACCCCTTTCCTTCGTTTCTTTGATTTCTTTCTACACATTTTCAAGACGATAATTAAAGTGTATTAAGTTGTTATTAAGGACTTTTTTCCATTTCTATTGATTAAATAGTGGCTAGCGGTAAATTTTTTATGTCAACTTCATTAAAATTCTTAAGAAATACTTGTGTCATTTGTTTCACCCAGGGCTGGAGTACAAAAGATTCACATACTTGTTGTAGATTTATTTGTTCAGTTGTTCATAGAATAGAATGTGTTAAGCCGCCTAACGTTTATACAGATCTATCTAAATGTATATGTATTACCTAATACTTTACAAGGTGTTTCACGTACTTCATTTTTCGTAAAAACCAGATTGGAACCGACTATTTTTATTTTCATAGAAATGTCATGTTGTACTTATATGGTAAGAACGACTATAACCAACTCTGGAATAAGTTTTGATTGATATTCACGTTATACGTAGACTATTAAATAAAGAATGCTATTCTTTTTAAATTTTGAAAAAGAATATAAATGAAATGTCAAAAAAGACCAAACTGAATCGAAATTGCTTCCGCGCTTTTTCGGTTCTGGCCCACACATATTATATGAATTGGTTTAGTTACGATATTAAATGCGATATTCCTCAACGAATCGAGCTTGCTCAAACTTAGGTTGTAACTAGCCCTCACATGTCAAAACTTCTGTTTGTCAAAAACGTAGGACTTGACATACGGGACTCAGGAGTCGTACTTAGATTCGACACGGAATGTAACCCTTAATGCCCACAGCTTTTCCATGCAAATGACCAACAGTTGGTATGCGGAAATTTCAAAATGAATCCTTTAAAATACTGTAAAAAACTGCTATGAGTCGAATGGTTAGCCCGTTAAGTGATAACAGAATAAAAATCCGCGCGGTCCTGTGACAGTTGTGTAGGCAGCTGCCGTGCCTCGCGCCTACAAAAACTTATAGTTTTTTGATTGTCTTTTTATATCACTCTTATAAGAAACACAGGTGCTGGGGTGAGCCAACCCACATATGGTTATAGGTTTTTTAAGGTGTATAGGAAAAACACAATGCCGCGGTCAGTCCTCTAATTTTGAGAAATATCAAAACACCTTCATTTTAAAGTATAATATTTAGATACTTATAGGATTATTAATGCCTCTATAGGGCGAAACTTTATAGATTTAACTTGCGAAACTTTTTAGTTTAATACTAGGTATTTGAATGATTTAATTTACACTAATAACCGCGGCTGCTTTGATACAGTTTTATTGTTAGCACACTAGAAAAATGTCAACGGGTAACAAACAGGATTCCAAATAATTTGTTTATTTTGGTTTCCTAGACCTAGTTTCTTTTTAAAATATTTACAGTAGTTCATTATATAAAGTAAAATTAATTAAAAGCAGAATTAAATATTAAACAAAAATAATTATAATCGATTTCGATTGATCATAAACGCTTCAAGTCAGAAACAATAAAAAGCGAATAATCGGTATTTAAATTGCAAAAAGACTATTCGTAGCCTCGACCAAGATTGGTCTTGCGACTCGTTTCGATATAAGAGTACTTATTAAGACAGGGGCAACTTTTGCTATTTGATTTGTAAAAAAAGAAAATTGCCGATACTGGTTTGCTATTAAAAGCATTTTGAACGGAAATTGTACAGTTATCCCGATCTTGTTAAAGGATGTCGCGATTCATTGACCGTCTTATTTTTAACGGACTTCAAAGAGCCTTTGAATTCTTTATGTTGGTTATTTAGAAATCTACTATTTATAAACCGATTGTCGAACTTATTTTCTGTTAAAGGAACGGGTTTTTTAAATTTTGCTTACGTCACTAATTCAAACTGTGAAACATGCATGCATGAATTTCTTAATTTTATGTTTTAACTATTAATTTACCTGGAATGATTTTTCATTTCGGTTTTCATTTTTCATTAGCAAAGGGAAGCCGATGTCAGCTGATGGTGGTTGGTGGTAGGTCTGGTAGCCCGGAGTGGATGGGCAGCGCCGTGTTTCTGTGTAGTCAGCTTCAGGGCTGCTACGACACCTTTTCACCAGCTCAAGAGGCGCGTCATTATCTTCCTGGCTTTCCCATTTTCCAATAGAGGAGTCTGTGTCTCTATCACGTTCACAGGCGCTTCCCGGTGACCATATTTGTCGATTTTTTGTGGACAAATTCAAAGGCAGCTCTTCGTCATCTGCAACAAATGTTCCTATTACCCTTCACACTTCACAAATTGAAAGTCGGTCGGGTCAAATCGGATGTCTGTAAAATCTGTACAGCTGCTTTTATATTTGTCGATTGCGTCATGTCTACTAAAACAATTGTTTTTATGCTATTTTTAAGAATTATTTTTAGCTACTATTGATATTTAGAGTTTAAGATATAACTGTAAGGAATGTACTTTTTGTGACCCTATTTCTAATTACAAATAACAATTTGTACTCTAGTACTACGTATTTTGTTGGAACCTTTTTTAAAATTAATTAATGCCTTTCTATTCAATGTACACCTTATGTAAAAAGCAATTATGTCAATACTCGTTTAAGTGAAATCAAATTGTTTTTGAATCTAGGTTCTTACGCTTATCATTGACTTACGAAAACATGTAACCAGTATATGTAAAGATAACGCGTTATTTGAATGCTGTAAGAATTGTCTAGGTAATATATTATGCCTTTTGACGAAGAACTAACATTAAAACTCGTACTTATATTTAGCTAATAAATATGATTTCTTGCTTCTGAGCACTTTAGTTAACCCTCTATGAATAAGTTTTGATTGCGATGTTTGGTTAGAAGTATCTTAATCATAAGTAATGTTTTTTTCATTATTACTATGAATTATTATTAATTAGAATGGCGTTATAAATCGTCTAAGAAACCTCCCAGTTCTGAGGAGGAAAAACAAAACCTCCCAGTTTTTAGTCTCTTTAAACGGAATAACTTTTTATTCCTAGTGTGTTCTATACCTACACGGTAAATTGCTTTTCTTATTTAGTGCCAAATTGTTATTCTACGAAAATGAAGATGATAAAACTCACACTTGACATACTTAATATATATACCTACACGATTTCCTTGGAAAATCGGATATTTACATATTAGTTGACGTCTCCACTGGAGGTAAACGACATGTTAACGACGTCCTATCGCAGTACGAGTTATTAATCGCAGTAACAGAACTGATAACTATTCTAATGAAGGAAACACGAAAAGTCGAGTGCTAAGGAGGCCGAGGTAAGCATAAGTTTTGATAACAACGTTACCTTTGGTGATTTGCCGGAAATGAGATTTCAGAGACAATAATATCTTTAATTACTGTATTGAAAAAAGGTTGCTTGACGTCAATCGTTTTATAATTTAAATCGACTTATATATATGTAATCGATATAAACCTTGTTAATGTGTTTATTATAATTACCATCTCGGGGTGGTGTGTGTCGCATGTGGTCGAGTGGCGGTGTGAAATGGGGCGAAGGTCTGGGCAGTAGCAAAGGCCACACTCCGGCGCCGCCGTAAAGGGCACCTAGCCCGCTACAGTACATCAGGGCTCCAAGTTCTATATAGAAAAAATAATTCTATATTCTCACTCATATTTCTCTAGCTTCACAACTTTACAAGCAATTTACGTTAGTATTTAACAAAAGAGTAGATATACTTGTACATAAGCAATAGTTCGGGATACGGGTTAAATAGTAATACCTAACTTGCAATATGCATATAAAATATATACCTGTTGCTCTGGCATATTGCTTGAGTGCTCTTCCTGCAATCTCGATGTCTCCAATCTGAAGCATATCAAGACGGTTGTGGGAAAGAGAATCAGGAGAGAGGGGTGGTGACTTGGAGGTAGGTGAGTGTGGCGACACACTGCGGTCTGGTGACGGAAAGCGCTGTCCAGGTGGTGATGACGCTTGGAACTGCTCTGCCAACCGAGACAGAAGAACGTGGCGAGACATCTGAAATAATTGAGATTTGTAATCGGTGCCCAATACCTTCAAGTATTCGTCGGTAGAATTCAAAGACTGCTGAAAGCTTAAATCATTCTGAATAGTCTATGAATCTATATTATATAAAATTATGCTGAAGAACTAAAGGGAACTACTTGAATTAAACACAATATTTTTGTGTAAAAACTAAATCCCGCCGTCGCGTCGTCACCGCCGTAGCCTCTACTTACGTCAACGAAATTCCCTACAATACGCCCAAAAAGTATCGCATAGCTTTAACTCGGAAACAGCTTACTCAGAAAATTAATTAAATTATATTATGTTATTACAATTTCTATACCAATACATATTCGTCAAAGTTATAACGTGACCATGACCATTAGCGGCTATCTAACTATTTGTCGACAGCTCTCGCCTTGATTAATCCGGTCGACTATTTGTTGACGAATCGTATTAAAAGCTCAATCAAGCAAATGAAGAATCAGAATAATGAAAGTGGACGGCGCCCATTGCGTACGCGCATTAATAATTCACGATATATCGGACTAAAACAATCTTCATTATCGGAGCATTACCGAATGAGTTTGAGCCATGACAAAACAAACCCCGACTTCATTACTTAGGCAATCCAAACTTACGACATGAATTGCTAAATTTTAATAGAGTAATTAGGGGTGATTCGTATCAAATGATACAGGTGGTATTAACTGTTCGACTGTTCGTTTGTCATAAAGATGTTATCGTCACTTAGACTGGGAAGCGGTATTATTCACCTACACGTGTCAAACGTTATCACAACTAGCCAAACGTAATACAATTGTGATAAATGCATGATTGAAACTATTAAAACTAATTGGGTGAGTGTAATGTGAGGGTGGAGTGTCGCAATTTCTTGTTTCAATAAAGCAAGCCGTCATTAGGTGGTCACTGACAATTACTGACATCGCGTCTTATAGCTTTTTTCTTTAACAGTGGGAACGATGGCAAATGTTTTACAAATCAAGTATCGCGTAACATTAATTGAATGATTATGAAAATCATTATCCATTTTCAAATGTACTATCAACTTACTATATAGGTCTACTGTTTTCGTTTGCCAAGACGTCTTTATGAGATATATTGTATAGACATTATTATATATCCCTTAAAACAATAATTTAAAGAGCAGTGTTGGCCTAGTGGCTCAGCGTGCGACTCTCATACCTGAGGTCGTAGGTTCGATCCCCGGCTGTGCACCAATTGACTTTCTATGTGCGTATTTAACATTTGCTCGAACGGTGAAGGAAAACATCGTGAGGAAACCGATGTGTTGTTGTTCTAAGATATGTACCGATGGGTGCATATCTTAGACCCAAAAAGTCGGCGGCGTGTATCAGGCACAGGAGGCTGTTCACCTACTTGCCTATTAGATTAACAAATGATCATGAAACAGATACAGAAATCTGAGGCCAAGATCTAAAGGTTGTAGCCACTGAAGTATTTTATTTTTTTAAATCAATAATTATATTAATAAATACCAACTTATAAATTTTATTTTGATATTGTATACCATCGATGTGTATACTCGTTTTCATGTACATTGATTAATTATCGTATGGATATGAATAAGCAAATTGTTTATAACGTTTTATGTATGTTTTTTCTTAGCTAAACTTAACTAACTAATTCTAATATTAATTCATAATATCACTTTCACATATACGTAAATTTCGAAATACATCAAATTAATAAAATATATAATCTGTAAATAGTTATATTTTTAGTTATATTTATAGGTATTGATATTTTTTAATTTGCGATATTTAACTTAACATAATATTATGTAAAATTAAACTATACACAATACAATCAGACTGTATGAATTAATTAAATTATTAAGTAAATTTCTAAATGTTAATGAAAACTATTATTCTTTATCCGTGGAGTTTATTAAAATTACTGAAAAATAAGTGAAAAGCTATTATAAATAAGGCTCACCTTGGGCAAATAAATCACTTCACTGAATCACAATGGGCACGGTATAGCTGTCGCGTTGATATTGTCAAATTATCATGATCATCAATATTGTAAAGGCTCGCACGAAGTCGTAAGGCTTTATAGGTCGCTACAATACGGTGTATCGCGATCGGCGCCTGGCACCTGACTGAAGGCTCACGCGCCCCGACCTACCCAACTGCTCATCCAAAGTTTTTTTTTTTCAAACAAAAAACAACAGGTCTGGAGGCTGCGCAATAAATGATTTGATAAAACGGCTCCTTGACAGGTGGCTCGCGTCTCTGCGTATAATTATTACATACAACGGATTAAGCGACTGAAAAATGTCCTTTGAGTATAAATGTGTGCAAATTGCTGGTTTGTACCGTGCTGTAATCAACTTGATCTATTATAGTACTTGTGGGCCCAATGATAGTGCTAATAATATGAATTGCATTATCGATAAACTTAATAATACTGAAACGGGAAACCTTTGAAACCTTGCTTTGTTTGGAATTATGCACAGATTTGTTTAGTTATGCTCCGCCCACGAGTTGCTGATTGGCCGGATTCTAGCAGGCGGGGCGAGTTTAGATGAACTTAGAAACGAAATTGTGAAACTATAATGTGCTTCAATTTTATAACTTCTTGAAATGTTACTCAATTGTTGCCACCTATTAAAATAGTTAATTGGTAGAGATAATGAGTCTTTTGATAAGAATAACTAGTATTTATTGTTAATTTTATGTAGGTTAGCGTACAAAATTAGAAGTTATTTTAAGATTGTACTTTATTAATATATTATAAAATATGTAATATATTATATGTAATATATTATAAAATATATATATAATTTCAAACCAATATTAATAATATAACATTTTACTAACTCAATGTTGGAATGTGCCTGTTCCAACATTGAGTTACTTTCTTTTTTCTTATTCGACTGTGACAAAAAAGATTTTGTATCGAATTTAGCGTAATTTAGCATAATATTCTTACCTGGAAAAATGGTATCAAATGTATTGTTTTCGAATGTAAATTCAAAAGAAAGAATAGTCCCGCCTGCCAAATGAAACACAGGTTGCAAGCAAAGCAAATTGATAGCGCCCTGATTCGCCACTATTCTCGATTTCATGAGCTAGGATAGCCGAGCAAAGGCTAGCTAGTTACGAAAAAATCCTTAATCGACTGCTTCAATACTGTAATTGATCATCATATAATTTATCTGTAAATCTTGTACTTGTAACATTATCTTTATATTCCACTGCTTTGAATAAGCTGAAGGCTGGTTAATGAAAATTGACATATAGCATACCTATGTTTAATTGAGTCGTATCCGTAAACTACATTTATATATGTAACATATGCATTGATTCGTTTGTAATATTTATTTGTAATAAATTAAGAATTTACTACAACTACAGTGGGAGTTGTTTGTCCTGGAATAAAATAGTTGGTGCTCGGTTGGTTGGTTGGTTTCCAGGCACGGGATTTTTCTGCTCTACCTCTAGGCATAGAGGTTTACCTCTAGCTTCTTGGAGGAGTCAATACCATGTTTTGATTGCAGTTTTTTTCGTAGTTGTCCGCGTTGTCCTTTATTTAATAATAATAACATTATAGTTTATTGGCAAAAAACAAGTTAAATAAAACAGGTAGGTACCCCTAACCCCAGGCTTTTGATGTAGCGAGAACTGTTTGTCAGGAGCCTGTAAAATAATAGAATAAAAAAACATAAAATGATAGAAATTAATAAAATTTAGGTTTAGTGGATCAACACACTTGCTAAGCGTGCGAATTTTGAGACATTTTGCAATCATACGCCGACTACCTATGCAACATTGTACACTTGATCGTTCGATAAATAAAAACATCATGAAACCTGCATGTCAAAGACTCAAAAATCGTTGATTCGCCTGTACTTTATTAACAGATAAATGATATAAGCTTCTTTTAATTATAAATAATGCATGTCTAAATCTTAAATAGCTATGAGAAAGTTAAAAGTAAAGTTTTAAGAATATTTTATCATTTGACTGATTATATGTGATTATTCAAACGTACATTTTTAGCTACTTAAGTAAGCTATATAAAATAAACGTATATGTAAATAATATAGAAGTAAAAATACTCTAAAACGGCAAACATATCGTATATTTCTTTAAAAATCTAATGGTCGTAAAACCAATATAGCAGTAGGCATGCTCTGATACATATTGATATTGTACATTTACGCAGCCAATTAAATGATATTACACAGTCGATTTACCCCTTGTAGCAATCTCGGGAAATTTAATTATACGGCTAATCTGCTTTGGTTACAAGGTATTTTATTACAGGCAAATGTATGGTTTCAGTAGTGCTTCAGTGAACGCATGTGTTGTATACGTAAAGAATGATAGTGTTGCCAGTTTGTTTCGGGTGAGCTATACTGTGACGAAAAATATTAACTGATTACTACATATTATTTTTAAAAAAAATAGTCGTTTTAAAGTGGGTATTTTTTAGTCACACTTACTGAAATATAAAATTAATTACATTATTTACTCAACAAAATATTAGTCACTAAAAACTGTTCTAGCGAATAGAATAATAAAAAATATATCATCATCATCATCATGAGCCTCTCTAATTTAGTCAATTTCTGGACGTAGGACTCCTCCAACTTCCTGTACGCCCTGCACTGCATCCACTGGGAGCCAACCTCCTTGACGATGTCGTCAGACCACCTTAGTGGGCGGCCGCGCGGTCTTTTCTTCTGCCGCGCTCTCGATTCAAGGAGCCTGCTGGTCCATCGGTTCTTGACCATGCGCATTGTGGCCTGCCCATCGTCACCTAGATGTTGCGACACAGCCCTTACTACATCGCTAAAAAATATATATTCGTAAATAATTCTGAGTAAAATCTCTAAATATTTAGACGATTTTTAGCGTTCGGGTCTACTAGCCTACACTTTGAGGCTTAGAAAGCTAAAAACGATTCTATGTTCTAAATTTGTATCTTAGAGATGGCAACACAATGCATAAGATGATATG